CCTGACTTCGAAGGCGTCGTTGAAGGCAGTCAGCATCTGTTGGTCACCCGAAATTTTTGCGTCGCAAGAGGAATTGCAGAGTTGCGGGGAGGCAAAGCAACGGTTATGCTCACAAATTTCAGCAATGAGTACAAACATGTTAACAAAGGAACAACGGTCGCATACATCGAAGAAATTGTCGAAGCCACCAGTGCTTTCGCCCTCGCCGATTCTGCGGAACCTGCTCAGAGGAACCAAGCCCCTTCCATAGCTTTCGACGTCAATCCCAGACTTCCGAACGATAAGCAAGAACAGCTCAAGGCCCTGCTCCTGCGATACGAAGATTGCTTTTCGTCGTCATCGAAAATTCGGCAGACCCCGATCACGAAACATCGCATCATAACCGAAGAAAATGCCAGACCACTCCGTCAGAGTCCGTACAGGGTTTCGACGCGAGAACGTGAGGCCATCAAGAGACAAGTTGATGAAATGCTGCGGGATGATATTATCCAGCCGTCCAACAGCCCATGGGCATCCCCCGTGGTGTTAGTGAAGAAAAAGGATGGGACCCTACGTTTCTGCGTCGATTATCGCCGCCTGAACAAAATCACAAGAAAGGACGTGTATCCTCTCCCACGAATAGACGACGCACTTGATCGGCTCCATAACGCCAAGTACTTTTCGTCAATGGACCTCAAGACTGGCTATTGGCAAATCGAAGTCGACGAAAGAGATCGAGAGAAGACGGCGTTTATAACACCGGACGGCCTCTTCGAGTTTAAGGTGATGCCCTTCGGCCTTTGCTCAGCGCCTGCAACTTTTCAACGCGTTATGGATACAGTACTGGCAGGATTGAAGTGGCAGACTTGCCTTGTGTACTTGGACGACGTCGTCGTGTTTTCTTCGAGTTTCGACGAGCATCTTCGGCGCCTTGAAGCTGTACTTCAAGCCATCAAGACTTCCGGACTCACACTGAAGCCAGAAAAGTGCAGATTTGCGTATGAAGAGCTCTTGTTTCTGGGGCACGTTATCAGCAAGGCTGGAGTTCGTCCTGATCTACGGAAAACAGCCGCCATCGCCGAATTCCCGCCGCCCACTGACAAGAAAGCCGTGCGCCGATTTCTGGGCCTGTGCGCCTATTATAGGCGGTTCGTGAAAAACTTCGCCCGCATCGCCGATCCTCTCACTAACCTTACCAAGGCCGACGTGGAGTTCAAGTGGGAAACGCCACAGGAACACGCTTTCCAGGAGCTTAAACATCGCCTCCAGACGCCTCCGTTACTTGCCCATTTCGACGAATTCGCCGAGACAGAAATACATACTGACGCAAGCAGCGTAGGTCTTGGCGCCGTTCTTGTGCAGAGGGCTGACGGACTTGAAAGGGTTATTAGTTACGCCAGCCGATCGCTATCCAAAGCAGAAGCAAATTATTCCACAACCGAAAAGGAGTGCCTCGCCATCATCTGGGCTACGTCGAAATTTCGCCCATACCTCTACGGCAGGCCCTTCAAAGTTGTGAGCGACCACCACGCCTTGTGTTGGCTAGCCACTTTGAAGGACCCTTCAGGTCGCCTCGCACGATGGAGCCTGAGACTTCAAGAATATGACATTACTGTGATTTACAAGTCCGGCAAAAAACACTCCGACGCCGACTGTCTCTCTCGTGCGCCTGTCGACCAACCGCTACCCGACGACCCGGATGACGACTACTTCTTAGGAACGATAACTACCGACGACTTCGCTGAACGGCAGCGGGCCGACCCGGAACTTAAGGCCCTAATAGAATACCTCGAAGGCAGGACCGCCGAAGTCCCGAAGGTATTCAAGCGCGCACTTGCGTCGTTTTTTCTACGAAACGGTCTTCTACAGAAGAAAAACTTTTCACCGCTTCGGGCTAAGTATCTCCTTGTGGTGCCTTCAGCTCTGCGACCAGAACTCCTGCAGGCCCTGCACGACGATCCGACGGCAGGGCACCTCGGTGTTTCTCGCACGCTTGCGAGGATACAAGAAAGGTACTACTGGCCGCGTCTTACAACCGACGTCACTCGTTATGTGAGGACATGCCGGGACTGTCAACGACGGAAGACACCGCCGACAAGGCCAGCGGGACTTCTGCAGCCAATTGATCCACCTTGCCGACCTTTTCAGCAGATTGGTATGGACCTGTTGGGGCCGTTCCCGACGTCGGCTTTCGGAAACAAATGGATCGTGGTAGCCACCGACTACCTCACCCGCTACGCCGAGACAAAAGCCCTGCCAAAAGGCAGTGCATCCGAGGTAGCTAAGTTCTTCATCGAAAATATCGTCCCACGTCACGGCGCCCCGGAGGTCCTTATCACCGACAGAGGAACGGCATTCACTGCCGACTTAACTCAAGCGATCTTGGCATACAGCCAAACAAACCACCGCCGGACGACAGCGTACCACCCACAGACCAACGGCCTCACCGAGCGGCTTAACAAGACGATCGCCGACATGCTGTCAATGTACGTCGATGTCGAACACAAGACGTGGGATGCCATTCTTCCGTATGTGACCTTCGCATACAACACGGCGGTGCAGGAGACGACGCAGATATCTCCATACAAATTGGTCTACGGAAGGAGCCCGGCAACGACGCTCGATGCCATGTTACCCAACGTCACCGACGAAGAAAACCTCGATGTGAGCGAGTACCTTCATCGCGCCGAAGAAGCCCGACAACTTGCGCGTCTCCGTATCAAGAATCAACAGACGACCGACAGGCACCGTTACAACCTTCGACGACGCTTCGTTGAATACCAGCCCGGTGAACGTGTTTGGGTGTGGACGCCGATACGCCGACGTGAACTAAGTGAAAAGCTTCTGCGACGGTACTTCGGACCGTACAGGGTGGTTCGACGTCTCAGCCCACTTGATTACGAGGTTGTCCCCGACGGCATTACGAACTCTCAACGACGCCGATCGCGACCTGAAGTCGTGCATGTCGCGCGCCTCAAGCCGTTTCATGCGCGTTAACAAACTGAAACAGTGTTTTTTTTGTATTATTGTTTCGTCGTAATTTATTAATTGTACTTTCTCGCATTATTATTGTACCTTCATCTTTAGTTAAAGCATCGGGACGATGCCTTTTTTCAGAGGGGGGCAATGCCACGTTCCATTTCCCAAGTTTTCGTTATCGCCCCAAAACACCACACGATTCTCAGCGCGAACCGCGCCTGCAGTTTTCCAGAAGGTTCCGGACTGTAGTAGATCATTTCGATAAGATTCCGCCCACTGTGCGAACGGTACAGATGGTTCTGGAACGCACGCCGCCGCCAGCGATAGCGCTAGAACATTCGACGGCGGGAGTATAAATGCCGACGCGCTTCGCCGCTTGTCAGTTGTTGATCGAAGGCCGACGCTCCGTTCGCCGCTATCAGTCTGAGACTGCTATCTGTGCGAGACTGCTGCTGTAATTGGACTTTCTGTTTACCGGGCACAGGTTCGCCCAAATAAACAGTTAAATTCCAACAAGAAGTCTCCTGTCTTCGGCCACGTCACGACCCCGTGACAATATCCCCTGAGTAGGTGCGAGCATGTATTATGCCTCGACGCTTTTAATCTCCATTAAACTTCTCCCTTTCGATTTCATCCTTCGGGGCTTTGTGTAGTCTTTCACCTAACGCACTGCATTCGTGCTGCACTGCTACTACTTCATTTCTTCTGTATATACGTCCTGTTTCGGGCACGATCACAGGCTGCCATCTTGGACTGATAATGACGCCGTTTTGCATCCATATAAATATTCGAATAGTGCTACGGTGAACTCGCATGCATCAACACGCTGGGCCAGTACATTCAACGTCGTATGACCATAATCATTGCTAATTACGACAATTTAAACCCAGCAAAAATTGCTTTTAAGCCTAAGATGGCAGCGTCTATGCTTTACTGTAACTGTTACATTTATATTTTGTCAATTTGTCCAATATATCATTTCATGCAGCGGCCGCAGAACTTGTGCAGCTGTTCATAGTGGTACTCTCGGTCTCTGAAGCTGGATGAAGATAACTAAGAAGGCTGGTTTATACTGGCTACATAAAATGTGAAACGAAGCTATAAATTAAGATGAAAAAGAAAAAGACAAATCTGTGAAAAGTCAGTATTGGCGCATAAATGGCGCGCCGATTGCGCCGATGAAAATCATCGGCGGCGGCGGCGGCGCGCCAATCAGTTCGCGTCGGCGGTGGCGGCGCGGTGAAAACTCTCGGTGGCGGCGCGCCGACCAGTCGGCGCACACCTCTACTAAATAGTCCTCTCAAGTTCCATTCCAATTCTCCCGTAGCCAGCGAAATAGACCGCTTCGGGAAGACGGCATTGTCGACAAAAACGATCCAGCCTGCTACTTTGCTCTCCAAACAAGATGACGGCTCTGTGAAATCCTCAGATAGCTCGGATCTCACCGGAATGGTCGTTAGCGCACAAGCAGACGATTTTTGTGGCGCTCGAAGTGAGTAACGCTCAATTTTTCCTAGGTTTGAACACGAAATAAGCTAAAAATGGCAGTTACGTTTGTTTATCTTAGCCTTCTCTTCTCGACGCGAGGTGGCGTCTCGAAGGTAGACGTCATCCAGACTCGTTCCATTTCTGTGAGAGAACACCCACCACTTTAATGCTGTCTTGAAAGCTGTCAGCGTAGACTGTCTACGATGTTGTCTAGAATCGGAACACAGACACGTACGAATGGCAGGTACTTCGCCAATTAGCAAAATGAACTATCACGTAGTGGGCATCCAGTAGACAGCCATTAGTTTAGGATCTACCTACACTGGCATTTTAGGACAGCTTGAGATGGCGAGTTTTACGCGCACAGACGATCCAAGGTTGAAAGCAATGCGCACGGAACCCTATTACGCTTCTACTCTCAAAGGCGAAGCGCAAACAAGTTTTTGGCTGTGTCATTTCAGCGATTCTGTCGCACAATTCATAGACAACAACCAGGGTTAATTTTCTTCAATTACTATTTTGTATTTGTTCTTTTTCATTTGTTGGGGAGCGTTCTACTTGGGCAGCACCAGGTCGGCGATGAAGGTGCGTATCTCTCCGACGGCCATGTGGGCCTTGATGATGGCGCCCTTGTCATGGTCGAAGGCGTCCCCGCTTCGCCGGGGCGCGTGCCCGCGTCGCCGTCCGCTGGCCACCGTCACGTTCCACTCGAACTGCTCTGGCTGCTCGTCCAGCCACTGGCTCGCCGTCAGGGTCACCTCGCGCACGTTGGTCGTCTCGTACGTGGACATCAGGGCCTTCGCATTGAACGCAGAGCATTAAGAAAAAAAATCTTACGATTCAAACGAAGCAATTTTCGTTACCCATAGCGCTTCGTGTTGCCATCAACACGAATAGACGAAATGCTCATACCTTATAAAAATATTGCTCAAACGTAGTAAACGAAAAATAGTTTTGCAATTGATAGAAGTATATTTTGATATAGAAGTATATTTTGAACGAATTTCAGGATATGACACATATTTTTGTGTAAGATGTGTTTGTTGTTATTCAATTGGAATGATTTGAACACCACACTCGATTTAACGAAGGTTTTTCTGAAATAAGCGAGTAAAAACGTTGTGGTATCGACCAAGGCAGTCTTTCTTCGAGCGTACGCTATCACATTAGAACATCTAGGTGCCCTAGCTATGACGATAGCTTTTCTTTGATGAAGCTGCACACCGCAACCATGTGCGGGAACCGTGGACTCGACAGTCGGTAGTACTGTATACGTACCGGATGGTGCAATAGGTGGTCGATTCAGTTAATTCATTGATTGTGCGACATCTAGCCACAACGCACTGATCATCCTTTCCGGTCGACTCGCTCGCACAATAACTACATTCGTTCTCCACGTTATCGCATAAGGGTGACCTGTAATAACTTCAGATGGCGGTGTACATGGCTTGCATAGTCCAACGTGGGATCGTCCCATGTTTATAAGCTACGATGGGGCCACCTTCGCGGACATTTCAGACGCGCGGGCCCATATGGTTCCCTGACAAAAACAACGCTGCAGTGTGGTAGCTTTTGGTTGTCGCCCCCGTGTATGTCGCAACAATTTTTCTTGACAGCACTTTGGCACCCACAGAACGGAAGCGCGCGCATGCTACCACGCCAAAAATTAGATCACTGTAAATTTGATCGTCCCTTTACTCGGGAAAAAATCTTCGGTGAATGGTCGCACAGTTCACTTATTAAATGCAAAGCAATTCTTTGGGTACTATCTATCTATCTATCTATCTATCTATCTATCTATCTATCTATCTATCTATCTATCTATCTATCTATCTATCTATCTATCTATCTATCTATCTATCTATCTATCTATCTATCTATCTATTTATCTATCTATCTATCTATCTATCTATCTATCTATCTATAACCGCCTACGTCTATGTGTTCTCGTGATGACCCCCTTAATTTGGGGCAAAGCAAAATTAGCAGGGGAGGGTAAGATGGTTTGACGAATGTGACTCGCTGGTTATGTTATGATGTGTGTCGTGAAACACTTTCCGCCAGACAGTGGCACATACCCGCGGCTGGGTATGGATGCCTGCGAGAACAGACATAGGTAATTTTAACGCATGAGCGTTAAGAAAAAGCGGACATCGGCAGCGTTTACCCGACGATTGCAAAAAATAAATGTCAGAGTTTCAGCAGGAATCAAACACCAGCATTATGCGTGGCAATCAATACCACACACCCACACCAGGTCTCCTAACTACTTTTCAAATAGGCCCTAATGTTAGTGAAACGCCAATTGTGGTTGCAGTGCTACTTATTCAGTTTTATGAACATTACATGTTGTCACATGGTCGTGACGTTGACGCAGGCAGCAGGCTGTATGTCGAATACGAAACTGTTCATTTGGCCGACCGGTAAACGAAAAGTCAGATTACGGCAATACACACTGGCACTGCACCTAGCGGCGAACGGACCATTGGCCATCGATCAACTGATCATCGCTGGGGTGCGCCTTTTTTATTGCGTCACGCGTCGAACTTTCCAGTCTCATTAATGGCGGTAGCGAAATCTCTGGAACAAACTTGATTGTTCGCTTCTCGCGCAAAAATCTTGGCAAAATGATCTCCTACGATTGTGAAGCTTCTTGAGCACTGAAGAGCGATCTGCGCTGAGCATTGCTGACAGTCTTTGTGGGCGTTAAGTCATCATCATCATCAGCCTGACTACGTCCACTGCAGGACAAAGGCCTCTCCCATGTTTCGCCAGTTAACCCGGTCCTGTGCTTGCTGCTGCCAATTTATACCCGCAAACTTCTTAATCTCATCTGCCCACCTAACCTTCTGTCTCCCCCTAACCCGCTTCCCTTCTCTGGGAATCCAGTTAGTTACCCTTAATGACCAGCGGTTATCCTGTCTACGCGCTACATGCCCGGCCCATGTCCATTTCTTCTTTTTTATTTCAACTATGATATCCTTAACCCCCGTTTGTCCCCTAATCCACTCTGCTCTCTTCTTGTCTCTTAAGGTTATACCTACCATTTTTCTTTCCATTGCTCGCTGCGTCGTCCTCAATTTAAGCTGAACCCTCTTTGTAAGTCTCCAGGTTTCTGCTCCGTAGCTAAGTACCGGCAAGATACAGCTGTTATATACCTTCCTCTTGAGGGATAGTGGCAATCTACCTGTCATAATTTGAGAGTGCTTGCCGAATGTGCTCCACGCCATTCTTATTCTTCTAGTTACTTCAATCTCGTGGTTAGGCTCTGCGGTTATTACCTGCCCTAAGTAGACATAGTCTTTTACAACTTCAAGTGCACTATTACCTATCTCGAAGCGCTGCTCCTTTCCGAGGTTGTTGTACATTACTTTCGTTTTCTGCAGATTAATTTTAAGACCCACCTTTCTGCTCTCCCTGTTCAACTCCGTAATCATGAGTTGCAATTCGTCCCCTGAGTTACTCAGCAATGCAATGTCATCGGCGAAACGCAGGTTACTAAGGTATCCTCCATTAACTCTTATCCCTAACTGCTCCCATTCTAGGCTCCTGAAAACCTCCTGTAAGCACGCGGTAAATAGCATTGGGGAGATAGTGTCTCCCTGCCTTACACCCTTCTTGATCGTTATTCTCTTGCTTTCTTTATGAAGCACTATGGTAGCACTTGATCCCCTGTAGATTTCTTCCAGAATGTTTATATATACTTCATCTACGCCCTGATTCCGCAGTGTCTGCATGACGGCTGATATTTCTACTGAATCAAACGCCTTCTCGTAATCTATGAAGGCTATGTATAGTGGTTGGTTATACTCTGAGGATTTCTCTATTACCTGGTTGATAGTATGAATGTGGTCAATTGTTGAGTAGCCTGTTCGAAATCCTGCTTGTTCCTTTGGTTGATTGAATTCTAATGTTTTCTTTACTCTGTTAGCAATTACCTTTGTAAATAGCTTGTATACTACAGAGGGCAAGCTGATCGGCCTGTGATTCTTCAAGTCCTTGTCATCTCCTTTCTTATGTATTAAGATGATGTTAGCGTTCTTCCAAGACTCTGGTACTCTTCCCGTCAGGAGACACCTCGTAAACAGGGTGGCTAGTTTTTCTAACACAATCTGTCCTCCATCTTTCAGCAGATCTGATGTTACCTGATCCTCACCAGCAGCTTTGCCTCTTTGCATGCTCTCCAAAGCTTTTCTGACTTCTTCTATCATTACTGGTGGGGTGTCATCTGGGTTACTGCTAGTTCTTATAGTATTAAGGTCGTGGTTGTCTCCGCTACTGTACAGATCTCTGTAAAACTCTTCCGCTATTTTAACTATCCTATCCATATTGGAAGTTATTTTGCCTTCTTTGTCCCTTAGTGCATACATCCGACTTTTGCCTATCCCAAGTTTCCTCTTCACTGCTTTGACGCTTCCTCCGTTTTTCAGAGCGTGTTCAATTCTCTCCATGTTATACCTTCTTACATCGCATACCTTACGTCTATTAATCAACTTCGAAAGCTCTGCCAGTTCTATTTTGTCTGTTGTACTTGACACTTTCATGATTTGACGCTTCTTAATTAGGTTCTTCGTTTCCTGGGAAAGCTTGCCAGTGTCCGGTCTAACTACCCTGCCTCCAACTTCCACTGCACACTCCGTAATAATACTCGTCAGATTATCATTCATTGTATCTACGCTAAGGTTGGTTTCCTCACTAAGAGCCGAGTACCTGTTCTGCAGCGACACTCTGAATTCCTGTACTTTCCCTCTCAGTGCTAGCTCATTGATTGGCTTCTTGCGTATCAGTTTCTGTCGTTCTTTCTTCAAGTCTAGGCGAATTCGAGACCGTACCATTCTATGGTCACTGCATCGTACCTTGCCAACCACTTCTACATCCTGCACGATTCCTGGGTGTACACTCATTATAAAGTCTATTTCGTTCTTATTTTCGCCATTAGGGCTCCTCCATGTCCCCTTGCGGTTTTCTCGTTTTCTGTAGAAGGTATTCAAAATCCGTAAATTATTGCGTTCTGCGAATTCTACTAGTAGCTCTCCTCTGGCGTTTCTAGTACCTATGCCATAATCTCCTACTGCCTGGTCTCCAGCCTGCTTCTTCCCTACCTTTCCATTAAAGTCGCCCATCACTATAGTATACTGTGTTTTTACCTTATTCATTGCCGATTCCACGTCTTCATAGAAGCTTTCAACTGAAGCGTCATCATGGCTGGATGTAGGCGCGTAAGCCGGTACTACCTTCATCTTGTATCTTTTGTTCAGTTTAATTACGATACCTACCACCCTTTCATTAATGCTATAGTATTCCTCTATGTTGCCTGCTATGTTTCTGTGAATTAGGAACCCCACTCCCAGTTCTCTTCTGTTAAGTAGGTACAGATTAAACTGAAGCAAACGCTTCCGGCCAACTGTACTCCTACGATACCGCCGTCACGTCGGGTTATCTTCAGTTGCAGTTGGGTGCCATCCGCTGACTTATATAGCATGCAGAGCTACCATTCTCGCTAGCGCTTCATATCAGCCTATCTTTTCGGGCGTTGCTAATATCCATGTTGCTGTTGGCATCTTTACGCAACTGCAAACAATGGGTTGTATAAAACATATACGGCTGTTTGCATGCATCTGTAGATATCTGTAGCGCCACTCCGTCCGCATGCTTTGCATAACGCTGGTTACCAAAGTACGTGAGATCTGCCGAACTGTTTTATTTATAGAGTTTCGACTGTATATCAATAAATATATAAAGTCCGTTCTTATCAATGCAACGGTTGTCTATCAGAAGTGTCTGTGCGTTTCAAGTGTTTTTCAATGCTGACTGCAGCTTGTTGAATGACATGCAACTTTGTCGTTTGCGAAGGGGGAAGGTGGGGATGGGAGTTCAACTCGGAGAAAATGGTCTGTACTCACGTGCAAGGGTACGGCCACGTCGGCCATGGGCGTCTCGCGGGGCACGATGGCTGGTTGCATGTACTCTAGCCGGAACAGCACTCTCTTGGGTTCGTGCTGCTGCAGGGTGAGCAGTTGCACGCCGTGTGGCAGGGCAGCACCCAGGCCGCGGAACTGTGACGAGCGATTATTACGTCGACGCCGATTGCGTCCTATTACGTCGAGCACGTGTAAATGCGTCAATATATGTCGTTTATGATTGATACATTTATGACAGTTACCATACTAATCTGGTTATAACGAACACTGATATAGTGAATTATCGGTTACAGCAAACTAAATACGAACTTTTGCAGGTCACGTTTGATTTTAGTGATATTGATTGAGGTAAAAGCCGTAAGTACATCATCAAATGCCAATACGAGCGGCGGTGTCAACACGGGTGATGAAAAAAAAAGTCATCAGGTGATGCCACCCACCATATGTCATCACGACGTCGCAGATCTCCAGAATTGTTGACGTTATTGCGTCCTCACTATGACGTCATGTGCTGAAGTCAACACCTGACATCGTCGCTTTCGCAAAGGTGTTCCGATCGTTCGGGCAGCGCAAAACCACTCAAGGTGCAGAAAACTTTCGGAGGGGAGGAGGAATCAATACATCGACTAGAAAGAAAAGGAAGAAGCTGGCCTTTTCCCTCGAGTCATGCAGCACGTCAGCACGCACGCGTGGTCAGACTTTAAGGCATTTGCATAAAGTATACCACGTACGTTTTGTCTCTGCCTGTATTTTATATTCCGTCGTCTCTCTATGTTCTTCATCTTGCTTCCCTCACGTCAAGACTTGTCGATCCTTTATCGCCCCTTACAGCCTCATTTGTCGTCTTTCCGTGAGCGCCCATAGCGAGGCGTCCCATAGTAATTTGATTAACACTCATTCCTGATCGAATCTCTAACCTAACTGACACAAATGAGTTCCCGAATGTAAGACCAGAACCATTCGCGTTTTCGACGGACCTGAAAGCAGCTGGTTTCATAGTTTCCCTCTAGCGCTGTGTGCTTCGTTATTGCATTTTTCTTTTGCTTTACAACAGACGCTTTTCCTCACGTATCTATCACCCTCACTTACCCATACTCTGCGGCACTTGTATTCGCTTACCCTTGGTACTTTTTTAGCCCTGTAATTACACCACCACCTCATCATATTGAATACCGAATCCACGTTCTGTTACACCAGAGCTTCACCTTCTCTTTCGCATATACTATATGCGCCAGCCGATACACGACATTCTGACTGTCTGCAAATAAGGCGATAACGTCAGCAGGAAATGAACTTGGACGCTGCTGTTCTAGCGCCACGCCAGCCTGCTTGTGTTACAGATTAAAGCCAACTGTTTCTAGCGCTTTTTTCCAAGCTCACCACTTACAATATAAATGACAGCGGGGACAAAGAACATCTCTGTCCCAGCTCCATGCGTTCTATATTTATTCCTTCCCATTCTACGCAAACCTTACTTTTCTAGGTACATGTCCCTAAAAAGCTGTATTACAGTCGTCGCTTATGGCCAATTCTTCCAGTTTGTCTCACAATATTTCCTGACTAGCGTTGTCAACTGGTGATGATGCCTCGGTTGCGCCTATCTTGCTTCATACTTTGACTCACCGGGGAAATCGCTTGGACGATTGTTTCAAATGAATCGACTGTTACCTTTCGGATGGATGAATGAAAGCTATAAATCGCTTGAAAGGAAAGACGATCTCTACATTCTTTTAAATGTATCACTGCTCAGCAAAATATATTTTACGTTGTACCGTGATGCTTGTCTGTGGTGTGGCGGTTTTATATCACATTTCTTGGAGGTGTGATCGAAAGCAAGGTGATTTGATTTGAACTCTTTTATGGCAACACCAAGTCTGGAGCAGTGGGAGGCATAAACTCACCTGCTCGGACACAGAAGTGCAATGAGGGCTCTTGAGTCAAGTTAGGCGAGCGGCGGAAACCAGTGAGGCCCTGCACTTGGGGGCCCACCCAACGTGCTCCTCCCTTTTTCAATCCCTTCCCTCAAAATAAAGTATTGTTCTTCTTCTATCCGCGTCGACTCTCTAGGGGGGGGGGGGGGGGGTCATAAGCGTGCCACTGGGTTCGACAATGAAAAAAAAAGGAAAAGATTTTCCTTTTTTTATGTCGACTTAATGGCTTAGTTGTCTAATATTAAATCTATCTTACTATAAAAAAGAAAGACGTAAATGCACAGCCCATGTTCATAAAGTTGAGCGTGGTACTGAATTGACGAGAACAGAAGAGGAAAAAAAAACACAAGCCATTTTTGTGTGTTCTTCCTGTCCCGTCCTCGTCAATTCAGTTGCACGAACAATTCTAACAATCCGCCCTTGCTATGCACAGCCCAGTGTTTGGCGCTTTACGGCAAAACTTACGGCAATTTTTTTCAAATGTTTTGCCCTTTCTATGTAGTTTTCTGCCAACAATAATCTAACCATCTCTTACTTAGCTCTGTCCCGGGCGTGTTCAGCTTACCGTTGTTGTCTCATAAACCCAAGGGCTTCATGTAGTCTCGTGCCTAAATGCACGTCTGGGTGGACATCCCCACATTCAATCAGAACATGCTCCGTTGTTTCCTTACTTTCCCCACAGCATGTACATTGTTAGTCTTCTTTACTGAATCTCGCTTCATAACTACGCGTCCTAAGGTAACCCGATCTGGCTTCAAACAGTAAAGCGCTTCCATTTGAATTAATCACAGCGCCCTCTGGCCAGTGCATGCTGCCATATACAACGCAGATGTAGAACAAGCGTGCCTTACGTTGCGCGTCTCGATCGTTCTCGTCTGTGGCGAGATTCCCTCGGAGAAGGCGAGGACGGGCGCCATGACGAGTGCGTTGGCCAGCTGTCGGACGCGCACAGCGGCTACGTCCATGCGACCCAGGTGGAGCAGGTGGCGACCACGGACCACCAGGCCTTTCCTGTCGACGCCCAAGTCGTTTAGAGACTGCATGACTCCCTTGCCGTCGTGGCCCATGAACCGTCGGTGGATCTGTCGTGCCGAAAATGAGGTAGCGCTTGTCGCTTGTCGGTGCATCGTAAACTACCACGGCGCGGTAATTAATCTGAGCAAAAGATGAAGTAACAATGGGACACAAGCGCTAATGTCCGTTATTTCATATTCTGTCCTCGTTTTTTCCTACGCTGTGCATACAAGATGTACGGTTGAAAATGGGTCATTGGGTACATAAGGAATCAACCCACCAGAAGGACGAAGTACGAAAAAAAAAGAAAGTGACACGCCATTCTCTCCTTCATCCGCATACTTTCCATTTTGTTCTTGGGTTTTTTTACTCAATCGTTCTCGCAGAGCTACTAGCCAGCTTACGAAACTTGTCAGACTCCACCTCCTTCAACCATACTACATATAAAAAAGTGATGACTCGTATTTGCGAGTCGCGGATTCCCACATATATGACTCTATAGAGACACATGAAATCTCTTTGGAGTCATCATACTCTCGTGGAAGAGCCGTGGGATCCCAAAACAGTGTTATCGCGTCTCTTCGACAAGTGTCATATACGTGACAAGTCAGTAACAGGGATTCTTTTGGTCTTTACGTCCCGAAACCACGATATGATTATGAGAGACGCCGTAGTGGAAGGTCCGATAGTGTCGACCACCTGGGGCTCTTCAGCATGCATGCACCTAAATCTAAGTACACGGGCCTTAGTCCTAGCATTTCACCTCCATCAAAATGTGACTAGAACACTGGACAAGGCGCCCTGTCCTGTGTTCTTCTCGTCTTCGTAACTAATTTTCCATTATAACGTATGCCAGCACGCCTAACTGACAGTTATCTTACACGTGCATACCATGAGCTCAATGGTGCCAGGCTGGTAGGCGGTGCCCCCTTGCGGCCTGTCTGGCAGCACGCTCATCTGGAGCTGTCTCTTCCTGTCTCGCACATATATCCAGGACACCACGGGGTAGTAGTTGGACTGCACCAGCTGGCGCTCGCGCTTGTTCTTGTCGCTCGCGTCCCATGGCCTCGTTGCGTTGGCGCTGCGCAAGATGACGGTTCGTGTTTCGAAGTAAATTAGTTTGCAAAACAAAATACGAGGCTTGCCCGCTAGGCTTGGTAAGAGGAGGGCATATTCCTCCTGACTAATCTCGTTACCTCATCACCCTCATCAGCGCCAGCCTGATTATAAGCCCACTGAAGGACAAAGGCCTCTCCCATGTTCGCCAGTCAACCGAGTCTGTACTTGCCGCAGCCACGTTATCTCCGCCAACTTGTTCACTTAACTTTTACCAACAAACTCTCGGCCACCTGCTCGCACACTGGCCTTTTCTTGGAATTCATATTGTTATTTTGAATGTCTTGCAGCTACCTTGGTTTCTCACCATACGCGTACGCACGGGTGGGAGCGGAGGGCAGGGGTGCTTAGTGGAGATCAGTGGGGTGCCCCTTTAGTCACATAATAGGGGAGGGGGGTGCAAGGTGTTTCCCGTACTTTGACTTAACCAGAATGGGGGTGCTGTGACACCACTCCGAAGGGGAACCCAGCTCATGCCTATGCTTCGTGCTACATGTGCTGCCCAAGTCCATTTCTTTGCGTTTTCGACTACAATGTCGTTCACACGTGTTTTGTACTTGACCCATGCGAATGCGTATAATGAAGAGCGGCCCCGTCGGTCCATTCTTTCTTTTCAGTTCGTTTTACGAATACACAAGTTTCACAGCTCCAATATCGTATATTCGTAACCCTGATTCCGGTCTTATAACCGTGAAATGTATCTGTGGGAGCGTAAGGTGGCCATAAAAAAAAAGCACACATAACTCGTTTAGGTAGCGCAGGAGGTACGTATTCACTCACGCTCGTGGCATTGTCTGCTTGCCGTTAGAGTCAGTGTAGAAGACGCCATAGTTGGTCAGGTTGGACTTGAAGCGGGTCACCACGTCATAACCGAGCTTGGATGGGGGTCTGCGTAAGGTTGAAGTTTGAGCCCTTTACAAACATGCAACACCATTTATCCTTTAGATTAGTCGTCTCGGACCATCCGAGGACGGCCTGCCTGTCTGATGTGATGCTTACAGAGAATTCAGCGTGCTCATCGCGTTGTTTCTTTCGGGGCACGCCTGAATGGCATGTCGAGATGCCTTCACTGTTGAGTGGATGTATCTATCGATGGCACCCTAAATGCCTCATTTCTATCATAATTTCATAATTGATATATATGACCATTACGGCTGCTTCTATATGTATTGTAAGATAGTGAGAGAAAGGGGAGTAAATACATCGGTTGGGATCCCCTAAGGCATGAGCACGGAAGGAAGAGGGGGGGGGGGGTACAAGGGGTTGGGGTGCAGTAATTAAGTCTCTTCAATAGTTGATCGTGTGACTTTTTACTCACATTGCTATATAGCCACGTTTTTGAAAATATCTAAAACATCAGAAAGTTAGTACTTGTATGTCTCTTCTCTGTTAGTACATTATTTATGGGCTGTTTTATGGAATCTCATACAAGAATAAGTGTTTGTAAGAATGATTTTATGCGCAGGTATGTATATGGCGTAGCTTATTACAATGCATGTCGAACAAACAATGTTACTGGACACTTCGTATAAGGTCATGTATCGTGGACCTCACGTGGTGGGAATGGGTCCGGCGATCCAGTCGAACTCGATGTAGTCCTGGTCGACGTAGAGCCTGATGACCTGGCTTAGCCATGGGGTGAACCACTGGTGCACCTCCTGCACTATGGTACTCTGCGCAGATCAGCGGATAGGAATGCTTTATTTGCTCATTGTCTGGTTAACCGAATACCTCACTGTTAAGTTGACCGTCGAATTCGCACACATTTGCGAGAAAGCTAGACAGTGGGGAGACATCTATAAATATATGCCCACACGTGTCTCTACAAAGAGCTGCAAAAGCCAAAGCCAGTTCTACCCCAAGTCTAAACTGCATGAACTGACGAGCACTGATTCGCCTGTTTCTCTTTTAGATGAGAAGCAGCCCTTTGACTCGCGTACGTGCGTCCATACGAACGCGTCGCAACGCGTTCCCCTCGCCGCAAGCGTTGGAGCGGTGCCAAGTAAGCTGCGCTGGCGTCACTCACTCTCTCTCTCTCTCACCCACAGCACGCTCGCCGCAACGCCCACAGCTGCCGGTCCCTCCGCTCGCTTGGAACATACTTCTCTCTCGCTTCACCCTCTCCACTACCCGCAACGATCTACCGCACATCGAGGGGAAACACTCTTTCGGTTCATTTATCTGCGATGAAACCCAACCCGCTTCTAGTGTCTCTGTGTTTCAAACAAACGTTGACTCGAGTAATGGCTACACCTAGTTTTGCTTTAAACCGGTTTTCCACCACGCGCGTCGACGCCCCTTTCAACCGAGTCAATGCTGTGCGCACCGCTGCTGCTTCGCATCCCATCAGGGCTTCGGACAGATGGTCCATAATTTTGTTTATCTTGTACTTACCCGCTCTTTTCTGTTCTTTTTTTTTTTGCGTTGATCTGCTTTTCTTTGTCCTTTCCATGTGATCATGTGATAGACTATGTGCTTTTCTCTACTCGTGATTACCTAATTTTTTCCGATAATACATTTTCTGCTCTATGCTCTTTATCCTACAGTTCTTTTACTGTTTACTGTTGTGAAAACTGTGCGTAACATTCGGGGCTGGCGTTTCGCCTTTCTCTTTCGTGTCAACTCCGGACGCTGACATTCCACTGTCGCGTCTTTGGCTCGGACAGACGGATTAGCCCTTCGGCGGTACTGGCGTTCACCGGCAAGCACTCGCTAGCGTTCCAACGTGCTGACTGCTCGGATGATGTTCATCACTCCTATGGAGGTGAAAACGCTGTAAGCCCGTGTGCTCAGGTTTGGGTGCAAGTTAAAGAGCCCCAAATGGCCGAAATTTTTGGAGCCTTCCACTACGGCGTCTCTCATAGTCAAATGGTGATTTTGGGACGTTAAAGCCCAGATATTATTATTATGTTTACCACAGGTGCAACCTGCGTGACGCCAACGCAAGGCGTCAGAGGATGGCAGGGCGGCCTCCTTAATCTGGTCCGCAGATAAAAATGTAGAATAGCCCTCTATCCATCACATGCAATAATTCTCTTTGCTGCAAAGCAATAGATAAGAAGCTGATGCATGGCCTTGAATTATTTTGTGTAAGCCAAGTGGCGTCTTCCAACAATGCTGGTTTCGTTGAACTTAGGTTCACAGCCACATACTCCTAGCAATGATTGATTGATTGATCAATCATTGCCTATCATTGATATGGGGGGTTAAACGTCCCCAAACCACCTTATGATTATGAGAGACGCCGTAGTGATGGGCTCCGGAAATTTCAACCCCCTAGGGTTCTTTAACGCGCACCCACATCTGAGCACACGGGCCTACAACATTTCCGCCTCCATCGGAAATGCAGCCGCCGCAGCCGGGATTCGATCCCGCGACCTGCGGGTCAGCAGCCGATTACCTTAGTCATTAGACCACCGCGGCGGGGCGACTCATAGCAATTAGCCACCATATATACGATAAGCCGTTGCCCCGTATACTTGCATCATAGTACACATTCTGAAAACCTTCCTGTTTGACAAGTTGGTGTGGACGACATTTATAGCGCAAAAGTATAAGATAAAAACACAACGCACAGCATTAACAGATTTATCTCTGAAAACGCTTTGTATTGTTTTAAAATAATGTCAGTTGATGCTCCGCGCTCGCACTTTGTTTTTTCCCTACTTTTTTCAGTATTCATTCCTCTTCATCTTTTGCGTGTCGTGTGTGACATACACTTTATATGGGCAAGACAGCAAGGTGTGTTGAGCCCTCTAACAGTGAAGCCATTTAGCAAATTGTTCTTTGTCAACCCCGTAACAACAACAAAAAGAAACCTCCTATAAATGGGTATTCGCTTCAGAAATCGGCAAAGTCCCGCCACTCACCACTAAAAATGAAGAAGGTAGCCCGACAAATGCGCCACAGAAATTTGATCAGCCTATCAGAAACTATAATAAATGACTACGTGCTACTGAAATGAGGTAAATCCTCCTGCACACAACTTCCAGCAAAAAGGCAAAATGCAGCAGTTGACCCTACTGCGCCTAACCCCTCTTTAATCATTTAATGGTTATTAAATGTTTTGACCACCGCCTGCAACAAATGGCTGCGATGCGAAGGTGGTGAGCCGAAGACCCCGAGTGCGTACAACGAGGCAATGCTATGCAGGGAACGGCAGCAGCCCCGAAGTGACGTGGCCGTGTCGTGGCTGGTTTAACCGGAACGTGTCTGTGCTGAGAACTAACGTCGCAACAAGCTGGCATCGCCGAGGTAAAGCCAGAAACAAGACCGTCCTAAGCAGCCGTATTCAGAATCGCCCAGTTTCACTGTTTTAAGATTTGCGCCGCTTAGTTTCACCAATGTTTTTTTTTTTGTTCTTTGTGCAGCCACGCGTGAGTACAATACAATACACATTTACTTACAAAAAATGCGGGATACACTGCAGCTAAAACCTGTTGGAAAGCAGCTTGACTGGGCCGGTGAGCAAAACACATATTGATGTTCTGCGCATGTGAATGTACCTTCACTTGAGAATTCGCCGCTTGTTTTTTGTGTGTTTTTCTGTGGTTCGGCGCATTTCGTGGCGCCGTTTCATAATTACGAATTCATACCAACTCGTCCAATTTTTCAGTCCGACTCAGCGCGCGCGCACGACGTGTTACCGTTACGAGGCGGCAGGTGGCGTTCGCGCGGAACTCCTCGGCCTTGGCTTCCTTGGGCGCGAAGAGGACGTGGCCGTACTCGGAGCTGTAACCGGCGAACGACTGTTCCAGGGACACGTGCTGGTTCTGGCCCAAGAGCGAAACCCTCTTCAACAGGCAGCTGCTCGAGTCCACCGCCACGCTGTACCACTGCGTTCGAAAGTTCTTTTTGTTAGGTATACTACGTAAGGTGCCACCACCTTGTGTTTTTTAAGCGAATGTTTCTTACTTTTATTTCGCGACGTGAATCGATATGGTCAAGAAACGTCCACAGCACCAATACAGCCATTTTAATTCGGACGCGGAACGTATACAGTTCTTTTAGTAACGGCCCAATAGGCTCCCGACAGTGAACCAGAGGGTGCAACGAAGCTCTTTGGGCCGCCTCAGCATTGTTGGTACCGACCGCCAGGGATACAAAGAAAATGGAACGCTCGCTGAACACAGTGACACGCTGAAGTGTCAGTGCCCTTTTTGGCACATTTGCAAAGAACGCTTCCTGGGTGCTTACATGTTAAGCTGTGACCGCTTGCTCACAACTAAAAAATAAAATGATATGCACGTACAAGTTTGGTTTTGCTGGTTCTACTCACTAGGCTACGCATTGGAAGACTCGGTTTTGCTGCGCCTACCCGCTAGGCTGTGTGTTCTGGCGCTACCATCAGATCTCGTAAACTGCATTACAGGGTGCCTCTACGGTGGTGCCGAAACCGAGCCGATACATCCGACATTTTTTACCCAGTTTATTGTGCACCTGTATAATGTACACCAGGTCGAAGTAGTGTTGAAGGGTCATAGGCGGGACAAGGGCTTATCTCGAGGGTATAAGCTATTCAAACTGGTTCTCGTTACTACTTTTTTTGCCTCTTTCTTTGTGAATCCTGTTTATTCCCCCTCCACGTTATATCTGTGTTCACACCTTTATATCTCTGTTTGCAATAGGTTTTAAATCCCTGTCTTAATAAAATATTGACAGGTGTCCATATAGAATTTTTTTTATTCGTGACGTAACATGACTTCTATATCAAACATGTATTTTTATCTTTTCTCGTGTTTTGCTTTTTTTGTTCGCTCGTTTTAAATAGAGGTGCACCAGTTCTAACGCCGGCGTGGCTGTCGTGTATATGGGGTTCTTCAAACTTCGTTGCAAGCGGAGCGTCTTTCTGGTCAGTGCCATTGAAGGACTCTGGTGGCATATACGTTTTGTCGGTGAAGTATTTACCAACAAGTTTCTCGCTTTTCTTCCTGAAAGTATCGCAACCTCTTAATTTCTAAAATTCATTAAAAACTACATTCGAATTGGTATTCAAGGCTAAAACCTGCGACTTGCAGCTTGACGTGAGCCCAGAAACCACCCCAGGTGCCCGACCTCAGCGTACATGCTAAGTCATGAACAGAAACGTACTCGTCCTTAATAGAGCATTCAAATAGCAGGTCATCATTTTATATAGCAACTATAACGCTTCTCTACCAGCATAGGGAGCATCGCTCAAAACTGCGTGAGATGCTTAAACTTGTGTACAGAAACACAAAAACAACGAAAAATGTTGCGAGGGAGGCAATACATGAAACGAAACACTCAGTAGGAAGCCTCGAATTCTTGTTGGGACAATTATATACTTTAACTAATGGCCCTGGTACGTACAAAACGTCTCTAAAAACTTTTAGTTCTTTTAAACGAAGATCCTTAATTGTTCTTAGTTGTTTTTAGACACGTTTAAAGGACCCCTGAAGCATTCTGAGCGTGAGAGCATGCTTCCCTTCTCGCCTTGATCTCCTTCTCGCCACCTATTTTTTCATAAAACGCGCGGGAAACAGCGACGATACTATCGGCATTATGTGCTTTTCGGCTGTACGCTGTTATCTTGGCAGTAGAAAACAATCGAAACGAAGCGAAGTCGGCCGATCACACACGCGAGACAACGAGACAAGGCAGAAAGGGCTTGAGACTGCGTGACAAAGCAGCGTTGGAGACTATTCACGGCTGACGTCATTCGCACATGGACAAATCAAGAGCTTATTCCATCGTGACGTCACGTGAACCAACCAATGGTGTTGCGAATTTTGCCGAATAGAAGGGAAACGCCAGGAGAGAATAACGGGCTCTTTTTTTACATTTTCCTAAAAGAAGAAAGTGTGTGTTACACCTTGTTTTTGAGGATGTAGTCGGTGCCGGCGGAGAGTACACGTTCAGTAGCCTTGATTTGCTGCCTCAGGAACGTTGCCCCTATAGGGAAGAAAGACACAGTAAAATACTTTAGAGTTTATACTTTAGGACATGAAACTTCAAAAGCTGTGTTACTTTCATAATTTTGTGCATCTATGCCAGCAGCGCGCCACTGTACCCTTTTTTTATTTCATTTTTGTTTTTGTTTTCGACAATCCCAGAGCGTCAATGTGGCGGTTCTTCTGATCCAAAACAGCTTCTTCTCGCTGTTGTGCGCACAGTGAGCGTGTGATAGTGCACATATAGGGTGCCACTACGTAATTGTTCTCTTGAACATCCCGAGTTATATAACAGCCCCAGAGCGACCTCTCATTTCGAAATAATTAAGCCCTCCCTTGTGACTAACACGCAGACAGGGGTTTCACTCCCAGTCAATGCAGAGCTCCAAGTATAAAAAAAAAGAACACTCTACAATATACTCCGAGTCATCAGGGGTGGTGCCAGAATTTTTAGGGGCGTAGCTCCTTACGCCGTGGGCTGTGCGTCTCGTGTTTGTATAGTATGTGGTGGTAGCTACCTCTCGTTTAGTTCTTAGAATGTCCGCTGGATGGCGGTACTTGTATATGATGAATATAAGATGAAAAGATGTGAAGTGGCGTTGCTTGGATTGTTCACTAAACAGACAGACAGACAGACAGACAGACAGACAGACAGACAGACAGACAGACAGACAGACAGACAGACAGAAGCTTCACCCCACTCATCATCATGCACTCCGTGGATATGCTGGAAATTCTTCTCTTTTTTTTTTTGGGGGGGGGGGGGGCTGGGAGGAGGAGGGGGCCACCGACAACAATTGTGTTCCTTCGAGGGTCAGGGAGGCACACAACTTATGCATTGTGTTTTGACTGTGCTTATTCTTGTGGGGGGGGGGCAAGGGGGGGACAGGCGAGAATCTCGGGGGGCTCCAGCCCACCCGTGCCCCCCACTGGCGCCGCCCCTGTGATTAATGGGTACTCTATGAACAAAAGAAGCGCTCCAGGGAGCCATGTGTTACCCGTATATCTCCAACACGATGCCCATCATAAAACAACGTGAAATCGTTCCACGTTAAACACTCTTAACCTCGGATGGTTTGGTTCAGCGAATCACGGAGCTCACCGCGGAACCGCTGCACGAGGAAGGTGGAGACACCTAGCGGCGGCACGGTGGCGAGGAACACAAGGTCGTGGAATGAAGTGCTGTTCCTCTCGGGAATGTGGAACAGTGCGTGCTGGATGGGAATGATCTGCGAACAGCGACGATTGGGAACACGTGTGAATATAAATGTACACAAGCTCATATGTATTAACTATACTCATTGGACAAAAACTTGGAGAACGCTTGAGCTTTGCCTTCGAGAGCAGAATGCGTTAGCGCTCCGCATTCTCGTGCGTTAGCCTACAGCTTTGGTTCTCTGTGCGTACCTCAACTGTGCCGTGAGGAAATGAATGACTGTGCGTACAATATTGTCCGTTTCAAACCTCTAGAATGAGCCCTTGTTACGTGCCCACTATTACATAACTCTTCATTTCGCGAATCAGTGAAAGGCCCAATACACTTTCATAAGGCAACAGACGAACCTACGCAGCTTCTCACTTCGTAGATGCTTTTGCAGTTAATGACGATTAAATAGGTACGAGCGCATTGAAAAGGGCGTAATGGTGAAACACCTACTTGTTGCGAACTTACGTGGTGTTTTGAAGTTTGGCGCAAATTCTACGATTCTACCAATACATATTCCATGCATTAACAAAAGTCTTTTCACGACTCACAGTGTTTCTTTCTTGTTTCTTATGCAGTTTGAAGCAATAGCGTAGCTTGTGGTAGAACACCTGCTTGCTACGCAGACCACCTGGATTAGATTCTCACCCGAGCCGAAGGCTTTTATTTATTTTATCTACACGCTTGCACAATTTTCTGTCACGGGTGAGATGATTATTTTTGGGTCACAAACAACGACGCCTACGCCGCGATTTCCGCCAAATGAGCTCTTCAACGCTATTTCATTAAATTAAGCATTTTTTTATCTGACCAGGTTTCGCCCATAAAAGCAGTCATTAGTGTTCGGTGGAGGCCACGCCGCTATGTGAGGGAAACTTCTCGATTGTTTTTAGATCGTGGGCAACCTTCTGAGGCGGAGAGCCAAGCTGCACGACGCCGACACATCGGAAGGCAAATCGGTGGTGAGGTGGAGGCTTTGCAGGCAAAGAGCGAAAATTGCGCAAATTGAAAATAACGTACAAAACTGGATTATAAATTGTTAATTTTAGTCACGCATGCCACAAGATTGTATTCAACGGTAAGTTACAAGCGAAATTCCCTTTCATGTCAGAGCTCTCATGTCGGGTTCACGATAGGAAGTGACAAGTGAAAGAGGGCAAGTTGACGTCATGCGGGGGCCGCATGACACGAGTAGCGGAGTTTTTCCTAGAACTAACGCGCGCACCAGTGATTCAAATCCCGAAATCGTGAATTTATGGCTAATAAGCTTACAAAGTATCAGCTACACTCAAAGAAGGAAACTCATACAAAATGATTCACATATCACGTGCTGCATGAGACAAAACTCTCTTAGACAGGGCACCAATAATATCTGGTGTCTCAAAACCACAAGGGACGCCATATTGGCCGTAGCTCTTCCATCTGGTGTTCTGTTACGTGGCACACACTACACAGGCACATTTCGCCGTCATAAAAATGCGATCACTGTTGCCGGGATCAAACCGGCGACCTTCGGACGAGCAGTCTATTGCCGTAACCGCTACACCACCGCGGCGGACCGACAAGGCAATGGACTGCACACTCTTGAACTGGAGTGGCTGAGGCGCGTGGGTATAAATATGTTTCAAAACGTTAAAGTTTAGATTGAAGCTAGCGCTTGTACGTGTCGCGTCGTCTGCCTCGGAAGTTTGCGCTAATGAAAAAAAAAAATTCATGGATTACCAACTGGGCAAAACAGGCACATTGCCAAGATGGCAAGCTATAAGGATTGATAAATACCTCCGACGGAACGAAGGCTTTCTGGTCGTTGACCACCCTGTAACCGCTCGTGGCGACGGGAAACCGGACGTGGGTCTTCACCATGACGCTCTGCGGGTTGTACACCGTCACGTAGAACTGCGAATGCAAAGAGAACGGTGAAACGACCGGAAGACGTCAAGATGTTTTCGCACAAAAACGCGACCCTTCAGTGGAAGATTTCGGATCTCTTCCACTGTGAAGATGGGTGCATGCTAATTGCCCGCCTTAGTTATTACATGTAATTTCTTTCATTTGTCTATAACTCTAATTTGTGCTTTTTTATGTTTCTTCTAAAAGTCGTATTGATTTTTTTAAATTTAATTTTACTTTTTAGTGTTTACTTTTGGGCTTTTTTTACTTTTATTGAGTTTTATTCTTGCTGTTTTGTATTTGACATTGTGTTCTTCTAATATGGCATTTCGCTTATCATTTAATTCCATTTTTATTATTTCATCTTGTATTTGAACTGTTCGCACTGTTTGCAATTTTATGCCCTGTATATTATTATTATTATTATTATTATTATTATTATTATTATTATTATTATTATTATTATTATTATTATTATTGCCTGTATTGTATTTAGCGTTCTGGGTTAGTAATTTCCTATTTCAACTGTTCTTGCTTGTTCATTAACTGTTAATATTCTGCTAATTCTTTTAATTCACAATCCTGGAAGCGTTTAACTGAGGGTCCCGTTTTCGGTATTTATACCCTGGTAGCTTCATCTGTATATAAGTATTTTATAACTGATGCATATGCAACCTCTAAACTCAAACTGAAGCAATTGTGGCTCAACGTTCTCCGGCAGTAGCTTCAAGTCAAGTCGTTTTTCAAGTCAAGTCAAGTGGTGGCGCTGGGCACGAAACTGTCGTTCGCTCGGAGGAATAAGAGCGGCTCCCTCGGCATCCGCTCTTCTTCCTCTGAGCGAACGACACGCGCTCCTCCCACAGCGAGCACAAAGGGCAGCTGATAACAACACTGCGTCACGACACACTGAAAAGGAGGGAGGTAGGGTACAGTGATTGGTGGAATGTGCCACCACCGAGTATCGCGACGCTTTTGAGAGTGGCCTCGGTGGTGGTGAAAGGATGAGGAAGGGAGAAGGGGGTAAAAATTGTTGTTAGTGAACAGGGCCGCATAGAGGCTCGCTGTAAATACTGCAAATCTTCTATGACGTCGACCACCAGACTACTCAGATGGGGAAACACAACACCTGCCAAGAGTTGGTAGAAGCAGGTAGAAGCACAACGTATCTTAAATTCAAGCTCACGTCATCGGTCAGATTGGTCCCTGAGCGATTTGGCTACGGCGACGGCGAGTGCTACATCTGAGAGGTTGACCACAGTGCGTATACCGCCATACCCCCGCAACTCGTTGAGCATCGCCTAAGTGCCACGTAATATATATTCCGAGTATCATCGGAAAAGACAAATCACTCGAGTTGACACCATCCGCAGAAGACACCAGCATGATCCAGATGCTTCCTACATCGACGCGGCTAAATAAACGGGCAAAAATGCCTTCGCTATAAGTGGGGTCGACGCCGAAAAAAAAGAACTGGCATCTGCCGCCATCCGGGTACGGCGCTTCGAGGCGGCGTAGGAAGCAGCGATCGCCCTTGCTGTTACGACTGGTAATAACGCGGTCACCCCAACCCACTGTCTGCAATTACACACTAGGCTGAATCCCCGCCGAAGCTCTCGAAATTCGGAACAAGAGAAGCACTCCGATTCCTTACTCCAACGTGGCGTGGGTGCAGGGGCGCGAGGGGCTCGAGCGAAGCGAAGCGCTCACGCCGCGGTCCACGGTCACGTGTGCCGGGCCTCCTTCACCGCCTCACTCGACCCGCGGTAAGCCAGCACTGCAGCAAAACGTACCGCCGGCATAGCAAGCCATACTGCAACACTATCGCCTAGCTCGCTGGGTGTAGCGCAGCCTCACCCCGAACTGATTAAAACACAGCAATACGAAGACAGCAAACTAACAAACAAGTATACGCACCGCATGGCATCCTACTGCATAGAATCTACCCGACGCTTTGCGATATGCAACGTGCCAAACACTGGCACACCTAATACTTCAGCGACCGTAGCGTTACAATTCCAAACCCGCAACTAGTGCTCGTATCAACCTCCTAGCCGAGACGTGGAAGGCCAAGATCACCGCACGGCATCTAGCTGACCAGGGAGGAGTCGTCGCCAGCGCCTGGGAGGTGGTTGCGGCCAGATGATTCCTGGAAAGGACCCTCCCACCTGGAGTGACCCCGAGCTCACGAGCTCAGGAAAACTGTTTCGGGATATTAATTTTTTTTTTATCATCACCACCACCACCACAACCACCATCATAATAATCATCATCATACAACGAACATGTTCTCCGGTGAATGTGGTTGGCTTCGCCGCATGAAGACTACGCTAGCAGTGATGCACTCTTGACAGGCTCAGTGCACAAAGCATACAATATCAAATTTCCTCCTTGGCAGCTTACGTCACCTCCAGTTACTTTGGACATCAAAGGGATAGAAAAAAAATCCTCGACGCACTACCTTGAGGCCACATTTCTAACGCTTCAACAAATGTGCAATCACCAAGACCATGGTTACAAATAAGCAGCGCACGACGTTTTACAAAAGAGAGACGAAAGGGACACCGCTGCGGCAGCGGTGTCCCTTTCGTCTCTCTTTTGTAAAACGTCGTGCGCTGCTTATTTGTAACCATGAACTATCACCAACTCGCCCAACTTTCGGTTTTACTGAACTTCACCAAGACCATTTCGCATTTGTTTTCACGGATGGCTCTACAATGGACGAAAGTTTGACTGGGGCTTTTCATATACCCGAATATAAAGTAGAAAAAGAATTCCGACTTTCTTGAAAGACATCATCTACAGCAGTGCAGCTTGTTGCAATATTACGAGCTTCAAAATTAATTGTTGAAAGACAGCAAAGATAAAACTGGGTAACATATTTTGACTCCAAAGGAGCGCTGCAAATGATTAAGGATTTTCATTTTCATATAGATGACAGCATCATATATCAAATATTAAAAACAATTACCATCGGTTATCTGGACGGCCACAAGATATGTTTAAATGGATTCCAGGCCACGTAGGAGTGATAGAAAACAAAATTGCTGACAAATTAGCCACTGCACCACACAAAAATGTTCACTCGACACCAGCGCCCGTTTATTTCTCAGAGAGCAAGAAGGTTCTTTCTAAACTGTGCCACAACTTATGCAAAGATGCTTGGTTTGACGAAAAAACAGTCGTCACTCTTATATCAAACAGATCTGTTTCTCCGTTTTCACCTAATCAAAAGATCGATAGACCATTCGACACGCTATTGCACCGTCTACGATTGGGTGTTTCATACACGCCTCACTTTTTATGCCGCATAAAAGAAGAACGTTTCTGCACTGCGACCACTGCGATCATGTTGATGCTTTAGAGGTGCATATTCTTTTAGAATGTACGCAATACGATCAACAATGCGCTGAACTGAGGGATCGCCTGAACCGACTTGACAGACGACCATTCACGATTACAAAAATACTTGGACCATGGCCGTATTCGGATAATTAAATACGCGCAGTGAGTGCCCTCGTCGTTTTTTTAATGAACACAAATCTAATGAACTGTCTTAAGTTCATATCATACCTTGCCGCTATCTGTACAGACTATCCGCAGTATGATTCCTATATATTACCTGGACTATGACCATACATACTGTACTTATTCATGCATTATATGTCCTATATTGTGTATAGTATTGTACACATTGCATTTGATTAGTTTTTTTTTCTTTTTTTATTCCTAATTTTGCTTTTCTGTGTCTTTCTATTGTACATTATTGTTACGATGTTGGGATAGCCGGCTCTAATGTAGTCTACCTTTCCATGTTCCGCCAAATGTAAATAAAAAAGCATGTCAAAGCGGGGAATTGGTTGAGTTCAGGTGCATGATGAACAACGACCTTTTGCTTTTGGTACATTTTACGTCGAAGAACTTATCGGAAGAGCAGATCCGCGATGAAGCATGCTCTTATAAGTAGTCGACAAACAACTCGAAGGCTCTAGTCGAGGCTCTTGGTCGGAGTTTGAAGCGGCGTTAAAGACAAAACTGTGATCGACTCCAGCTGATTTGAAAACTATATATTCATTAGTTTCGACGCAGCAGATTATTGTTCCTTTTTGTTACTTTGCACTGAAGCGCCAAAACTATTTGTCAGTGCGGCATTACAAATTTTAAGGTAGCTCAGTAAAACTGCGTACAGTGAGATATTGTGTGTTCAAATTTTAAGTGCAATGAGTATTCATTTGTGTTGGTTTTGATCACTTCCCTTTTATGTACGATGCTGTCTTTGTGACTTCTGCCATACACAGCGCGCACTACGCCTGTAAGGTATTTCAAGATAATCAACGAAAATAAAGCAGAAAATGAGGAGAAGGAGGAAGCGATGAACAATCTGCTGCTGCTGATGATGATGGAGATGGTAGTAACGAAATAGGAAGAAGGGGGAAAATAAGGTTATATGTTGATGATAGTAATAATGACGCATATGATGACAACTAATGAGGACGCTGATGCTTGAAAGGGGGAAGGGAGATACGAAGATAAAAGATAAGAAACCCACATTATTAATGACGATACAGTTAGTAACGATTACTATGGTGATGATTACAATAGTGAGGCACTGCGGGGTCGCAGGAAGCTTACCCTCTCGAGGCTCTCCGACGGTGGGCATTCGCTCTGGTTGAGTTTCCGGCAGAACTTTGGGAGGAGCACTCGGTTCGTCGAGATGGTGGCCAGGTTGTCGATGGCCTTGGCGACGATTTCCTGCGCAACGCACGAGCCGAGACGAGTGAGAATAGAACTCTGGCGAGATTTACCCCAGAGGTTGTATCTATGGATGCATACGATGGCTGTGGCTTTTGAGCAGCTCACGATTGGTGTGTACTGCACGTTAAAGAGAACGGATGACAAGCAGACGGGGTCAAGCGCAGGATATCAATTGAAGGTCATTTTTCACATACCATATACATGTTGCTGAAACAATAAATATTAATGAAAGCTAATAACAAACAATAAAAAAACGCCAGACCTGCGCGGAAGGCGCAGCACAGTCACAGCGAAAGCTAGAAGAGTGGCCTTTCAGAAGGAAGTAGGTAGGAAGTATGTTTATTGACAGAAAGGCAGAGAGGTCGGCCTGAGCGATAGTTTCCTCTAGCCTGCTACTCTACACTGGGGGAAGGGAAAGGGGAAAAGAAAGATTAATGGATGACGATGGTGAGATAGAGAGGTGAGTATGTAGTGTTCTTTCTAGCTGAGACACATTTTAGAGCCGCGCACATAGTCCAGTTGTTTCTAAAAAGGTAATAACTGCTCTTGTGACCGCAGTTGCACTGTTGGTGTCTGGCCAAGGGCCCAACATGGTCTCATCAGTTAATGACCTACTGCGATATTGTTCAGTAGAAGAAATCAGTGTTTGTCGTTCACGTGCGTATGCTGGGCAGACACAAAATATGTGCTCAAGTGTTTCTGGCACATCACAGTGTTCACAATTAGGACCGGTGTCACTGCGACCGATGATGTGTGCGTAACGTCTAGTGTACGCTACACCAAACGAATGCGGTGGATCATACTTGTGAGTTGCCGTTTCAATTTAGGAGGCATGCGGAACCTCATTTCCGGGTCCCATTTGTGAAGTCGCTGGTGTCTCCGTTCCGGTTTGGTCCAGTGCTGAAGTGTGTAGCTGCGCATCACGCAGCGAAGCAGGGCGTTCGTGTCAGCTCGTGAAAACGCAATGCGTACTTCAGGGGCACTGCTTAAGGCATTTTTAGCTTGAGCGTCTGCCTCTTCGTTTTCCATCACGCCGCAATGAGCGGGAATCCATTGGAAAGTTATAAGATGGCCATTTGTTGAAGCAACCTGAATAAGTTCTGTGATTTCTATTGCCAAGCTGTAATATGGACCTTGCTTCATGATGCAATTAATGGTTTGCAAAGCGGGTTTGGCATCACAGAAAATCGTCCAGGCTCGAGGTCGCTCTCCGGAAATAAGCCTTATTGCCTCTCGGATAGCGACAAGCTCTGCGGCAGTTGATGGGGTTTTATGGTCCACTTTGAATCGTCGAGTGATATCTATGTCTGGGATGACAAAGGCTGCGGCGGAGGTGTTTAGCGTGGTGGATCCGTCGGTGTTCTGAAAGTTTGAAAGTTTGAAAGTTTGAAAGTTTATTGAAATTGATTGGTTACAAATGGTGGTTACAATGGGGTTTACTACTGATACAGAGGGAGGTCCCAAAGTCAAGAGACTGTACAGGGGACCTCCCATAAGAGCTGAGTAAACAAAAGTACTTTAACGCAACAAAGATGTGTACACAAAGTAAACACTCAAAAAGAAGCAATTAACACTGAAACATCGTTGGATTATTTAAAAATTACAAAAGGAAGCAGAGATGATGAAATGATGAAATGACTATGCTGAATGCAGATAATTCCGAAGGTTGATTTTGAATGCGTGGAAATTGGAGATATTTTTAACATGGCATGGTAATGAGTTCCATAGTTGTGTGGCTGAAAAGTTAGTAGTGAACTTACCATAATTAGTTCTGGGTTTCGGTAATAAGAAGCTATTGCTGGATGCGAAACGTGTTGACAAAGAGTAAGGATACTGGCTTTTGATGATTATAGGGAACGGGAGCTTTCCGCTGATGGATTTGTGGATTAGTATTGCGAGGGAATATTTATGTAGTTTTCCCACCGACAGAATACCGTTAGAGGTGAGCAAAGGCAATGCTTCTGATGTGTAGGTGCTATGTGTCATGATGCGAATAGCCTGATTTTGAGTGTGTTGCAATGGAGATAAATGGACTGGATACGTGTTTCCCCATGATGATATGCAATAATTAATATAGGTATGAATGAAAGCGTAATAAAGGGATATTAGTGTGTTCATATGGAAAAAATTGCGAACTTTAATTAATATCCTAATGCCATAAGCTGTCTTCTTTGTTAACGATGAAACATGCTCATCAAATTTTATGTGCTTATCTAATGTGACTCCGAGAAACATGACACTGTCAGTAGGAAAAAGTGTGTTTGAAGCGAAATTTAAAGATGGTGAACCTGAATAAATCCTATGCTTAGAGGAAAAGATGACGAACTGAGATTTTGTAGCATTTATCTGTAGTTTATTTTGCCGGCACCAGGTAACTATGCTGTCCGCGTCGTGGTTAAGCTTGTAGATTAATGAATCAAGGTGGTTATCTGAGCAGAAAATAGTAGTGTCGTCAGCGTAAAGAATACAGTCAGATGATTTTAGGCATTGTGAAAGATCATTGATGTATATTAAAAATAAGAGAGGTCCTAATATTGATCCCTGCGGTATTTTCATGCCGCAATATTACTTTTGAGAAACTGCAATGTGGGTGAGTGGCGGGTAGTACTGACAGTGGGTGCTGTCTGTGTCTGCTCAGTAATCGTAGGTGAACTCTAAGTGGCTCGCAGAGCATGTATACACTGATGGGACAAGCCCGAGCCTCTGCGATTGTCCCATTTGTTGAAGTGCAGCGTGGTAGACCCAAGCATCTTCGTAAGCATTGAGCTTGAACACTCTCGAGTGTCTTCACACAACTAGGTCTCATATTGGAAAGCACTGGCATGCTGTATCGAATGTATCCCACAAATAGAGCATTGTATAATTGAAGTAGCCATGATTCTGATGGGCCCCACCTTGCGGCCTTTCAGAACCTTTTCGAAAGACTCATTGGGTAACTACTGCAAGCACACTTGCTTGTTACCCACTAAGTCATTATTAATAAATGTATTTGGGTAGTAGGCCAGCATTTGCTTTGCTATTTTTCGTCATTCTTCTCAAAAGCGTGGTATCCGCTAAACACTTGCAAGAAATTTTGTGCCAGTTGCCCATGCAGTGGCTGACGATGATAAGGAATTATGACTCAAGTGGGTATGCGCCACAGTTGATAGGGAAACAAGAACAAGCTTTTGTAATGGGTTGGAGCGTTGGACGGCCCACTCGTTACGCTATTCCTCGCTCGCTTATCCTTAATCCCCTATTGGAAGAAAACAGTGTCGTGCTTTTTTTTTTTAAACAGTGTCCCTTTAAAAACTGGACGACGCTTTGTCTTCAAGCGCTGAGCCCGCTAGCTTGATCGGGCCCTGCTCGCGTCGCCTTCTCACTTGCTAGCCTGGCTTCGGTCCTCGGTGGACCACTCTCCAAGATAAATAACGCCTGTACGCTTATCATTTACATCCGAAACTATCCAGCATTGACTGCTGCAAGCACAGTGGCCCAGGACGCCGTCTTTGTTTCTTCTGTGGATTAGTGAACCATCTACGCGGCCGTAGGGCAACGCGTCAACCGACGCCTCTGCTCGATTGGTTGATTATCTTGTTGATGGTGATCATTAAATACGCCTCAGTGCTTTTGAGCGGGTGGCGACTGCTCAATATCTGTGCGCATGTATAATTTGAACATATGATTAGCGTCACTTCGTAACGTTTCACTCAGCAAGTGAATTACACCACAGTCACTGCGTGCTTCGCATGACATCGATTCTCATGGTACGTGAGATTTCCCGATTTCTTTAAATTTTCATTTGTCTCAATGTTTCGCTCGAAGGCAACGACGTCGACGCCGTAATTTCTGTGAAACGAGCTCCTTGACAATATCGCGTTTAAGCCAGCCAAACCTTACCGCAACAACGAGTTTCGGGAGAGCCTTTGTCAGTTACAACGTCGACGACCAGCTGGGACTCATCATAAAACCCCAGGACGTGGCCCGAGCTCAAGGCATCCTGTACTATACTCGGGAACAACAGTCTGTGGCAATGAAGCGAAAGCTACGGGGGTGGAGCTACTGTGCTCCTCCTCCGCGTAGTCCGGCTAGACTCGCTTTTCGAAGGACGGCCGTGTTCAAATAATACCACAGCATAGAACTTGCCATGTTTGCTTATACAATTATTTTTGAGTGAAATTCGAGACGAGCTCCTTCGGCGAGTCGCCGGAATAGCTGGAGGGCGACGCGGGGCCACCTGACGGTGAAGACGCCACTTTGACTATGAGGTGCACATAAAAGCGGCGTGACGTTTTCAGACGTGCAAAACGCGGAATTACATTTCATAAAGCAAAACAAATAACTACATCTTACTGGCTCGTTCAGCGTCTTTTCATAAACATCATCCCGTAGAAAATAAAGTAATGTCGTTTTTGATGATTTTCACGCGGAAAACACAGACGCATTTGGGGGACTCTATTCTTCAGCGGTGACACAGGCCCTCTTTGATTCCGTAGCCTTTCCTTCATTCACACAGAAAGCTGTCTCCGAGAATAAGGACGCCTATCCGGAGCTCTAGCTCTTCTCAAATAAAGGCTTTTGTTCTCTCGCAAACACTAGAGCACTCACCTCACAACCGTCCAGCGCTGTGCTGATGCGGTGAGTGAAGTCGGCGACCACCTCGCTGCTACTCGTACCCCTGCCGAACACGCAGAGCTCGTGTCAGTGAGTCTCTACGAGCGGAGCTATGATACGGCTTGTCAGTGAAACGAGGGTTAACTAATTATTAACATGCCTAAAGGACGACATATACGAAGAAAGCGAAGAGAAACACGTAGGAAAAAAAATAGCAGAGGAAATACATAGCTTGCACCTACGTCACTCGACGTCACTGCTCGGAGCGAGTCGGCCATTTTTATGAACCGCGGTCAGGCCTTGTTCAGCCGCGTCTTGTTGAACCTACGGCTTTCTTCCTCCGCGATGGTTATGTGCGCAATTGTAGGCTGCGCAGTCCACTAGTACGAGCTTCTTTTGAATACCGAACATTATTGAAGACCACCGGAGGACTGGCATGCATAAAAAAAAAGCGTGCGCATTCCGACGAACAAAACGACGATGTTCGTGTGTGTGGAGCTCACGTCGTAGAAGGCAAGCGACTGAGAGAGGAAGCATTATGACGATAATTAACGTAGATGCTCTTGTGCTCGTAGGAAAGCCGTCCGTGTTGTTCGACGAGACGAACCCAGATCGGGCGCCATCTCTGCAACTCGGCTCCAAGCATACAGCCGCTGCGTGGCACGAAAGCGAAGAAAAGCGGCGTCACGATAAGCGACAAGCGAAGTTCGAACGGCGCCGACGACACGCCGGCACGGCGATCGTGGACGCAGCAGCTGAGCCGGACGTGCACCGATGCGACACCGCTGGCCTGTTAACACAAAAGCAAACAATGCTGCATTACGAACCCTTCTGTCCAGAGCAAATCGTCCATGACCTACGCGACAGAATGCATCTCCACTTTCACCCTTCGTTTTCCCCTCTGCCACTTTGAAATTTCATCGCGCATTTCTGCTGCTGAACAAGATCAACGCATCCGTTCGTGAAGGTGAATTCGAATGCGGCTCTCTCTCGACGACATTCCACACGCAGTGACTAAATTATCAGCACTACCTTCACACACTCACGTACATCCATCTATGTTTATGACAAAACAACAACATGCAGACGGGGAGGCGCGATCTAAAAACGCGCCGCCGCGTGAGCACCTCGCTTTACTCGCGTGAGAACTGAGCACAGACATCAGATTGATTGATTGATGTGTGTGATTTAACGTCCCAAAACCACCATATGATTATGAGAGACGCCATAGAGGAGGGCTCCGGAATTTTCGACCACCTGGGGTTCTTTAACGTGCACCCAAATCTGAGCACACGGGCCGACAACATATCCGCCTACATCGGAAATGCAGCCGCCGCTGCCGGGATTTGATCTCGCGAAGCGCAAACATCAGCATTTGTTGATTAGGCAGAGTTCGTATTTGATAACTCGGGGCTGGCGTATGTATGAATTTGTTGAACCATTAAACGTACCTCTGTAACGACGATTATTCTATGGTCGCGAAGCAGCTTGATAGACAGGCTTTTTTTCCAGCCGCTGATGAAGTAGTTGTACGCTTCCACTGATTTGAAAGCCTTCAATTCACCTAAGTTACAAAAAAAAATCAAATAGTTTTCGATGTCACCATGCGACACCTCTGGGATGGCAGAGATATTTGAAATGGTGTCCGTTACGGGTCGAAGTGGGTACGGATCCACTCCGTCGAACAAGTGCACCTTCTTTTCGTCGCGAGAACGCGCTTCAAAGAACTTTGAGCAGTACGCCGCATTTAACGGCTGCCTTGTGCCAAATGGCGACTTGACACACACACACACACACACACACACACACACACACACACACACACACACACACACACACACACACACACACACACACACACACACACACACACACACACACACACACACACACACACACACACACACACACACACACGCACGCACACGCACGCACGCACACGCACACACACGCACGCACACGCACACACACGCACACACGCGCGCACACACGCACACACGCGCGCACACACACACACACACACACACACACACGCACGCACACACACACACACGCACACAAACACACACGCACGCGCGAGGTGGAAGATAGCGAGAGTGGCAGTGTGGCTCCGTCGTACTTAAAACGGCAATCATACGGCTCGCACGCACGGTTCGCACGTACGCTAGTCTGAGCGGTGGCTCATAAATATGGCCAATGGCAGCCACAGTAGGACCACAGCAACAGTGACGTCACGTGCAAGCTATGCATACTATAGAACAAGTTCAGCTAATTGGTTCGTACTCAGAAAGTAGGCATGTATACACGAACACGAGAGAATGCCCACCAAGGTTCGATGACTGTACGGCCATGTTTAAAGAAAAATCTTTTGAAGCGCACGAACAACGAACACCGAAGAACTAAGAATTGAACAGGACAGTGCCTAAGACAGAATTTGATAAATCACTGTCCAGTCAAGCCCTTACTTTGTCCGTCTTTCTTTTGTGCGCTTAGAAAGCTTGTGTTTTAAACATGAATGTTCACCAGTTCATTTATCTCACCATCTTTTTGGAATGTGCGGTGTTGCACAGGCACAAAATGAAAACAAATGCATGATACTTGTTGAAGTTAAGAGTCGCATTGGATACATACACTGGAGCATAACTTCACTTAAGCATTCATGAACTGTCAATAGAATTAATGAAAATTATTGAAAGATTATTGAGTAGCTGGGATCTTTGAGGCACCTGGTGTAGCTGACTGCTGATCTCAACCACGCGCTTCTTTGCACTTTTGCTCGTTGCCTCTGACATTTTCTTCGGCAGTGTGGCGTAACACAGTTAACCCGCAAAATACACTAGGGCGCACGAACGCCGTCGTGTAAGTGCCTCTACCAGACATCTAAGGGAAGAATTTGCGTCGCCTCTGGACTTCTTTTTCAGATCATTGAGTTGTGTTCGGTTAGTTCAATGCTCACGTGATAGCGTCGTGGTGTTGTGCCATAGCAATCGCCATTTCTGAAAAAAAAATATAAAAATAAATCTAAGGCCAGAGAAAAAATTATTCACTGAATTGAAGCACGTTAGGCGATATGCCTCACAATAGAGAAAATGATGTGAGCTTCCACAGCCATAGTCGGCAGTGGCCTCCACGTCAACGTGAATGACGCGAAAATTATTATTATGTGATGACGTCACCCTGTGGCGACACCATTGCTTCACAGGCGGAAAGAAAGAAAGAAAGAAAGAAAGAAAGAAAGAAAGAAAGAAAGAAAGAAAGAATACACGTACCCAGCTTTTGTATTTTGGAATCCTCCATAACGTTGAGCAGCGCCGTCACCTGGCGGCAAACCTGCGAAACGTCCACACGAATTTCTGTGAACATCGACAAAAACATGAGATGGCAGTACGCCTTTAGCCGGTGATGCTTTCGAGTACGAACCCTTATCCTGACTGCCCTATTGTGAATCAAAAATGCACGGTCTCGTGGGAGGCACACTTTAACCAGTCGCACCTGTTCAGTCATTGTTTAAAGAACAGCACTATACATGTTGTAGTCATAGAGTTTTCCTATAAGTGAACTGTGCCGCTAGCGTCTATATGAGAGCTGTAACGCATGGCGCTTCTGGGAATTATGGGCAGTACACGGATTTGTTTATATTCTTCGTTCTTTCGACTCCGTTTGGCTCCGTGTTGTCTGGAGCCACCTTGTCGCAAGAAGTTCAGCAGTCTCACTTCGCCACCAGAACGTTATTAGGCTCTCCAATTCAAATCAGCTCACAAAGTTCACGATGGGGGATTCATTATTTACCGGAAATAAACGCCAAACCACAACAATAAGTGAAGCCACAAGTGCAGTCGAAGCCGCAAGCACGAATACTAAGCCAATCAGTGTACTCCCCATCATTTCCATGGAGGCTGAACAATCAGAGCACCAGCATTTCCTATAGTTAATTATAGGAAACTATTATTGTATCAGTGCAAAGCTCGTAAAATAAAGGAAACACAAAAGGTGAAGGATATAAAAAGGGGCGCCACTCTGACAACTATTTATTCAGCATAACGGCCGAACGAAGTTAAAACCGAAAATCCGAGTGCGCTCCTTTCGGAACATTGCTGGTCTTGTCTTTGTGAACCGCGATTTCAGGTTTTCAGGCAAGCTGAAAGCCGCGCGCGAGTTATTTGCCATGCGTCAGTTAAACATCTGTTACATTATGTAGTGCTGAAATGACATTATTCACTATCTGAGGGTGGTGACTTGTGTATATTGTCTGTTTAACCCCGTTGTTTGGATTCTATGCGTTTGTGCGTGCATATGGTTGTGTTTATATTGAAAGCATTTCTTCTTAGTAAACATTGTGAGCGTAGCTCCTGTCCATCTTTCTTCTCCCTCTTCTGTTACCATTCAAGCACACGCCTTCCTCCACAAATGCCCAACAGGAGAGAGGCAATAAATCGGAAAATAATTCAAACTGGGGTCTGTCCCCACATAAAAACGTATTGCAGTGACTTAACTTGGCTACGCCAGGATATACGTAGCGTCAGCTGCGGACTAACGGACGGACGGATGAACGAATGCACGGATGGATGACAGATATACGGATGCAAGGACAGACTAGCGAGCGAGTCAGGCGCAAGCCCACTAGTGACACGTCACTCCAGGAGCCTCCGGCGCGCCATCTGTGTGCCCTGTGACATCACTGTTCCTCGGGTATGCGCAACACGGCTGTCGATAAGCCGCGCGAAACTGCTCAACCACGGCCAGTGTGTATCTTACGCTACAAAACTTAACACGCCTGACGTGCTATCAAAATGTCTGCCTCTGGTGCGGAGGAAGTACTACACTCTATCATATACATGGGGTTGCTTAAAGCCTCTCCAACACCTGACATTCGCAGATATGACACCAACATACACGTCGTAAAAGTGGGAGGTTTGTCTGTCCAGCTCTGACCTGACAAACCAGCAAACGCTGATCGACCAGGTAAGAGGGTGGCCATTAAGTCATCGGCTAAGAGTCTGTCATCAGATTGATTTGTTTTAATAACGGGTTTCTCGTCTGTTGTGTCCCTTTACCGTATGCACTTCGCTTCTGCAGTATGTTTAGTAAACACCCACTCTCCCACGAAGAAGTTATCCTGAAGCGGCAAGGCTATGGCCATGGTGGGCTAGGACCTCTGGTGTTGAATTCCAAAAGCCAGGGACAACGTGCAGGTTGCTGCGCGAAGTGCGCCATCTCGCTTCGCTTTCATTTTAACAGCGCCGCTGTTCTTTGCCGGGTCTTTATGTCCGATGTCTGTCGTTGATCGCAGTGGGATCGCAGTACCAGCAAGTGGGTACATCCCACTATGAATATGTGCCACTTCTCCCACAACTCACTACTCCTCCCTCTATTCCTCGCCATTCATCCTACCCACTTCAACCCAACTGCACGTCACCCGCTTCGTTGTTACACCAGTGTCCGTCAAGTGGAGCTGGCTGCATTTTTGAAAAAAATCCATTCGTCTTGTCTTTTGATCTCGCCATATAGCTTTGCCCCTCCCTGCGCACGCCGATGTAGAGACATTGCTGAATCCGAGACCGGCACGCATAGCAGGCGTCTACTCTACCTGTAGGAAGTTGGACGCCTGGCGTATGTGGTACTTGAGCTGCGGTCTGTTGCTGTAGTAACCCGTCCACCACTCGAAGTTTCGGTCCGAGTATGGCATGAAGTCGCCGCTGTAGGAGAGCGCGCTCTCCGAAGGTCCCTTCTTGCGCCGGAACCACTGCTCGTGCACCGACCGGAGGTAGCACTCGGGCGTCGAGTAAAACGCGTAGTAGTGGCTCCCGTTCTGCACAGGAATCACAGCTGACTGTGAGCGCATTTGAATACAGCTTGGTTATGCGCATTTATGCAGATATCTGAGAAACGAGTTGTAACATTGGAGATGTTTACGTCAATTTAGCTGTAAATATTGGGGCGTCTAAAATAACCGCAGAGGTTGACGATGAAGCACCTTTAGAAGCAGGTTAGTTGGCACTAACGCGGTACCGTTAAAGGGCTTGTTTTGCAGAAAATACGTAAAAGGAGTTTTTCTGAAAAATAGAGATATATGCGAACTATACGGACTAGAACTTGATTCGTGTACGAATACAACGAATGAGCGAATGCTACGCAAGCGACAATGCACCTGATGTCGGTTTTCATGAAGGGGAAAGCGTCTGCTGCGCTCCATCGCGGCAGTGCGTGGCGCGAGTCATCTGCCTGCATGCGCTCGCCGGGAGCGAGCAACTGTTATTTTGCTCGGCGAGCTTGCCCGGCGCGGAGAGCTTCGATGGCGACGGTGGAGTGCGGGCCTAAGGAGCTTCGCTCCTGGTAATATCATCGGTTCAGGTGGGAATCGAACCCAGGTCTTCTGCACGCCAAGCCGATGTTGGACCGCAGGACCATGCCAGTGCTTTTTTCCTTTAGTACATGGAAACAATGCATGTAATTACTGCCAACTGCGCTCGAATTTGTATAAAAATGTCATTATGAGTGTATGGAAGCGAGGAGTGTTCTTAACGCATGCAATATTATGTGGCCGAAGTGTGGAATCTCATCGAGTGTCAAAACATGTTAATCATGCCAAGAGTTGGTGGTTCAAAGGCTCACCTCATTCAGGCATAGTTAGTCATTAGCAGCAGTAGCAGCAGTGGGTGCTTCGCCAACTCGCAAAAGAAAGAACTACGGCGTAGTGGTCCCTTCGCAACAGCCCTCGCAGTTGACGTTCCAGGATAGTTTGAAACTGTCAATGCTGGGCGCGCAGACATCCCTTTCCAGGTGGCGCATTTTAGTATCAGTAGCCTAGGTGTACTTGTGTTTTTTTAGCATAAAAACATTCTTAAGTGGTAATTTTCATACACCTGCAAACCTACAGAACATCACACTTTTTTGTGCGCTCACAGTTTTAGGTTCACTTCTGTAAATCGTTGGTTGCTTTGGACACGATCGCCAGGCTTTGCTATTAGCTGCTATTAGTAGTTTTTTTTTTAAGTACAAATGTAGAAAGAGTAGGAAAACGAAAATAAAATCACAAAATACAATTTAAAAGTAATTTTGAGCTCTAATGCAACCTGTGTCTATATTCGAAAATTCTTGCAAATTTTATAGCCGTAGTCTTTATTCCCTTTGCTGCACAGCTGAATTTTGAGCCTCTTTTTTAAAGTGTCGCCCCATCTGAAGTTCGGATAGGACAGGTGAGTTAACAATATGAAAACGCGCAGTCGACTCATTGTGAATCTCACCATTGAGTTTATGGTGTCGATGAGCATGTCCATCTGCGAGTACCACACGGTGGCGTTTGTGTAGGCGAAGTCGTCGCCGAACATCACGATGCGCTGCTGCGTCTGGTAGCCACGGCCAGTCTGCACCATAGGTAGGCAAAAAAAGTGAAACAGACTCAGACTCACTCAATAAATGTATTTCGGGCTTTGGACTCACTCGGACTCAGAGTCACCAAAATATTCTTGAGCCGGACTCACTCGCACTCAAGCTCACTAGCATATTACTCTCCCGAACTCACTCACACTCAGAATCACGGCTCGAGTCAACTCATCAGGGAGTTCGTAGACCTACAGTATGCACCACCGAGGAAGGTAGAGTCATGTTATTCAACAGATTCAGTCCCATTCAAACCTTTATCCTTCATTGAAGTACGATAGTGTGTGTGTGTGTGTGTGTGTGTGTGTGTGTGTGTGCGTGTGTGTGTGTGTGTGTGTGTGTGTGTGTGTGTGTGTGTGCGTGTGTGTGTGTGTGTGTGTGTGTGTGTGTGTGTGTGTGTGTGTGCGTGTGTGTGTGTGTGTGTGTGTGTGTGTGCGCGTGTGTGTGTGTGTGTGTGTGTGTGTGTGTGTGTGTGTGTGTGTGTGTGTGTGTGTGTGCGTGTGTGTGTGTGTGTGTGTGTGTGTGTGTGTGTGTGTGTGTGTGTGTGTGGTGTGTGTGTGTGTGTGTGTGTGTGTGTGTGTGTGTGTGTGTGTGTGTGTGTGTGTGTGTGTGTGTGTGTGTGAGCGCAAAGTAAAGAAGCTTCGCTCCAGGCGTGCCAAGACTCAGTGAAGCGCGGAGCTGGACAGCCTTGATGATGATGATGATGACCTCATATAGATGATGTTGGGACCTAGAAAAGAAGAGGAAGCAAAGGGCTGACCCACTACGCACTTGTTTTTCATCTACGGATTTTCTGTCGCCATTAAAGCGCAGTTGCGTCCAGTACGCTCCGAGTTTTGTATTGCCATGTGCTACAGGATCGGCTATGTCGAGCTATAATAGATGGCACCGACCCACAAAGGGGGATTGTCAAGAACCAAGGGGCAGGATTCATAAAGTAATTGTTTAAAGACTAAAACCAATCTGAGAAATTAGTTTAGAAATAAAACTTTGTTTCTCTCCGGTTTTCTCTTTCGTTCATGTTCTCTTTCCCATTCTTTTTCTGTGTTGTTCTCTCTCATTTCTACCTATTTTATTTCTTATTTTTCTTCCTTTCACTCTCGCTCCGCCGCGGTGGTCTAGTGGCTAAGGTACTCGGCTGCTGACTCGCAGGTCGCGGGTTTGAATCCCGGCTGCGGCGGCTGCATTTCTGATGGAGGCGGAAATGTTGTGGGCCCGTGTGCTCAGATTTGGGTGCACGTTAAAGAACCCCAGGTGGTCTAAATTTCCGGAGCCCTCCACTACGGCGTCTCTCATAATCATATGGTGGTTTTGGGACGTTGAATCCCACATATCAATCAATCCTTTCTCTCTCGATTCGTCGCTTGTTTTCTATTTAAACTTTAAACGTGGTTTTTGTCGTTATATTTCTCTAGCCACAGTAGTAATGTCCGCACTTGATGTTATCACCGAGGCGCTCGAAGAACGTGAGGAAGAAGACTTCTTTTTGGCGCGAGGAGTACGCTACAACGCTATACTACGTAGCTTTGCCTGCGTTACACTGACGACATCATAAGATCGCAGCATTCAGCAGGCCGGCCCCTGAAGTACTTGGTACTTGAAAAGAATGAGTAGCTCGACTGACCTCTTAGAACAACAGCGATGGACAGAGCGTAGGAAGTACATCACACAAACTGAGGGATGCAGTAGACGAAACTAACAGTTTCGCCAAAATGCTGAATCGATACGATAGCCACAAATTGGAGAGTCACGTGACCCGACAACGACCACACGCGAAGGAACAAGCTGCTTTAGGGGGATACGGCATAGAGGGGGATACGGCGAAACTGTTTTTGCGCTACCCACGTTCGTTGAGAGCACAACAAGTTTACGAGTTGTCTCCTGATGTCTGTCGAGATAGAGTACTCGCAAGTGCTGGCGAACTCACCCTTACGAACAAAGTTCGCTGTTCCTGCTCGAGTGACGCAGCCCACCCGCTATCCCACCTACGCTCTTACATACGCCCAGCGAAGGACGGCAGGGGCGCTTCACCTCTGCTTGAGGGGCCATAGACGGCAGATGTTATTGGATGCACCCTTGGTGCGATGTAGAAGGCCGGCTTGTTTTATATCTGTTGCAGCCGTGTTCTTCTGTAGCGCTTGCGAGCTTTTACTCCCACCCGGATGGTGGTGCTGTTGATGAAAACTAATTTAGCGTATGGTGCTGGCGCATAGATTTGAACTTTTTACAAAGCATGACAGTGATGGCAACGTCCATGCAGCCAAAAGTGTCTGTATGCTCGCTATCTCAATAATACGGCAGGTTGTAAACACGCATGGGTACCACTAGTAAACAGCGAGCGCCTACAGCTCTTCTAGGGCGCATGGTTTTCTTTCTAAATTATGGTACGAGTTACCTGGAAGACCCTGTATCATCATTATTATTATTATCATAAGCCTGACTACGCCCACTGCAGGACCAAGGCCTCTCCCATGTTCTGCCTGTCAACTCGGTCCTGTGCTTGTTGCCACTTTATACCCGCAAACTTCTAAATCTCGTTGGCCTACCCAACTTTCTGTCTCCCCTCCATGCGTTTGCCTTCTCATGGAACCCAGTCCGTGATCCTTAATTACCAGCGGTTATCCTCCCTACGCGCTACGTGCACTGCCCATGACTTATTCTTCTTCTCGATTTCAACTATGATACCCTTGACCCCAGTTCGTTCCTTGATCTACTCTGCTCGCTTCCTATCTCTTGTGGTTACACCTGCTTTCCACTGCTCGATGTGTCATACGCCCTGTGTATACAGGGCAAACTCACGTACTGAAGTATTTTAATGAATCTCTCACCTGAGCCGGAGGTGAATCCGGTGCCTGCCTAGCGTTGGACTTGCCTAGCGTTGGGTCCTCCTTTGGCAGCTGCTCCGTAGCGCGAGCTGGTGGCCGGGTACAGCGCAGGTCCGCAATCCGTGGACCCCGGCTGACAAAGTTCTCCTGACGTGGACTTCAGCTCGTCGCTTTTCTGTGATCGCGCGCGGGTGCTGCTGTGTTTTAGGCCATCTTCGAAGAGGACTAGATGCAGTTTAATCGCTTTGTAACACTGAGTGGTTGCATCACGTCTTGCCTGTTCCGTCATTTCTTATCGGTTGACAAGCAACGAATGAGAACTAACATGTAACGTCACATAAACAGCAAGCAACACGCCTTCAGCACCCATTCCTTCACTAGCACATTCGCAATCGCAATAAGCATTGCAGTGAAAGGAATATCACTTGTCTTCTTTCCATGTCACTTATGAATATATTATGTATTGCATTAAATTTGCAAGAAATGGTTAGTTATGTATAGGCGTGCTTCTCCCCTCAATAAATCGTTCACTCATTCGCTCACGCTTGAAAAACTCGCCACAGTGGTTAAGGCGCTTGACTGCTGACCCGAACTTCAAGCGATCGAATCCTGACCGCGGCGGCTTCGGTGCGGCAGCCGCATTGTAAGCATATCACTAGACACAATGTCGGTGAGAACTAACAAACAGTGATGCTAAAAGGAAGGGGATGCTATTCGTAGTAACGATTCCTGTGATTAACATCTCTTACGCTTTCGTAGGCACCAATGCCTGTTAGGTCTCATCAGTATTGTGCCTAACAAAGAAAAACGAGCCCTTCAATTTCAATTTCCTTGCTTCATCATCATATCCTGATTTTGGGATGTTAAGCCCAAATATTCATTATTCACTTTTGAAAATTGATCTAGGACTTGCAAAAGATGTCCTTTTGTTTAAAGAAACAAAAACAAAAAAGCATAAACCCTGACGAAATAGTAGTGAAAGAAGGCAAAAGAAAAATGAAAATTAATCAAAGTTAGCAATCAGACAAATAGCTAATCCGAGAATTATAAATTTCAAGATTGAAACGAAACATACCTTTTCGCTCTACTTTGAAACGTGTAGGTCTTTTAATTAATTATTTAAATAATTTATTCATTTATTTATTTACTTATTATTTATTTATACACAGCATAAGAGACAAATAAAATGAATGAGCGCTTTTCATTATATCCCTGTCTGAGCAGACAATTTACTCACTATCACTATTTTTATCAGTAAGCAACACGGAATAACGTGTGTAGCAACCTGAGCGCTTATCGCATAAGCCTGGATAATCTCTCAGAAAAGGAGTGTATTACACCTAATATTCGTACAGTTCCTTCAAATGGAGCTCAGCTATGTTCGTCTAGTTGGATCTCATGAGGGAAAAAAAAAACTTCTGGGGCTTCGCACCAGTGTTGACAAGCCTGAAGGAGGAGCGTAGCTGAGTGACGTCATTGTTGTTTTTGTTGTTCTTTTCCTCCGGACACGGCTCGTACCTAAAGAGGCGATTGACCGATTAGTGGGCGATCTTATCCTATGATAGCAGTAGTTAATTATGCCTAGATGCTATACTGAATACATTGAATTGAAGTCGCAGTTATTGATTATGAAAAGGTCAATGCGATAATTCAGTTAGATACTGTTTTAGTATCAATGATGAATCTATTTTTTTTCGTTTTTTTTTTTCTCTCGGTCTCATTTTTTTTGGTATCTGTTTGTTTCTGCATTTTTTTCTTTGCTTGTTTTTTTTTCTATTTCTATCTCGTGTTCTTTTATCAGCCAAGGTGTTTAGCATGTCGTTTCTTGTTCACCTCGTATCTAAAACACACACAAAAAATCATCATAAACGGGTATGCACTAAAGAAACTGCGTGAATCCCACTATAAATGACGAAGGCCCCGCCTCGGTGGTCTAGTGGCTAAGGTGCTCGGCTGCTGACCCGCAAGTCGCGGGATCGAATCCCGGCTGCGGCGGCTGCATTTCCGATGGAGGCGAAAATGGTGTAGGCCCTTGTGCAGAGATTTGGGTACACGTTAAAGAACCCTAGGTGGTCGAAATTTCCGGAGCCCTCCACTACGGAGTCTCTCATAATCATATGGTGGTTTTGGGACGTTAAACCCCACATATCAATCAATATTTTCACTTGGCCGAACAGAGTTTTTGTTTAACGCTCGCACTCGGAGTCGTCGTTCGCACTTTCTTCCTGTGCATTTTCTCTCTCGCCGAGCTTCTTGTCGTAGCGAGCGTGCTATTTTCGCATTCGGTGCGAGTGATTTTGCTATACGGATAACATCGTTTTTTTTTATTTTTTTACGGGTCCCTTTAAAGCCTTAATTGGCGGCAAAGCTTACTTTGCACAAGCACACGAACGCTGAGTGGATGATACAGAAAGTACGTTTCGTTCCTTATAAAAACTGTAGTGAATGTGAGCGTTGTTGCTGTCGAAGATGTGATTGTTTAATTACCTTCATCGGGTCGGCTTGAAACTCATCACTTGGGGAGTCGAGGGGTTGTGGTGCCTGTAAAATAAGACGTCGTTCCACATCATCAGGTAAACACTATGACTAAAAGAAGGAAGTGAGCATTCAAGGACTTGTTTTTTCTTCTTTGTTAGACAGATCGTCAATGAGAATTGACAGGAAATGATGCCAATGAAAGTACGGGAGATTATTGGTAATAATTGTAACGCAAATTCGGAAAAAGAAATGTAAACCTGTAGATGAACGTCTAGATAATCTGCATAAAGGGTTCTCTTACTTGAGAAGAAAACGTAATCTTGGCATGCAGTAATACAATCAGAAGTGAACTTTCTCAAAATTTAAGCTGTGTATACAGTGTTGCTAAAGCAGTACTTACGGTGTCTGTAGCTTCTATGAATCCATGAGCGACATTCGCTTTATTTTCTTCCTGAAAAAAAAATTGACCAACCAAGGTGAGAAGTATTATCACTGTATTGAGAAGTACTTCGAGGCTTCACTTTGCCGGTGTTCCATCGCCGAAGTCAACCTGCACTCACAAGTACAGTGGACTTGGTTTTTTTTATTTTGATAACCTATAAGATGCCGCAGAGTGCCGTTGTAACTAGAAGTGTCATTCAAAAGAGAAAAATTACGGCATATTCACGGGGTGAATGATGATGAATGGGCGAAGCTCCGGAGGGATTCATCAGTAAACTGTGAATCTTCCGTGTAATTCGCCCAGTCGATCATCATGTAAAGACGTGAGAAACGCTGTGTGTGTATATACATAAATCAACTTTTATTTGTTCTTAGACGATGGATGGCTTGCGATGTCCCTTGCCTCGCGCGCTCGCACATCGGGATTCTGTCTGCGAGCGAGCGCTGCTGCCGCCTTGCGCTCTCTCCGCTGTGCAGCCTTATCCATCCGGCGACTCCGAGCGCGCGCCAACAGCGAATGGATTTTATTACAACGCTCCCCCTAGCGTACGTCGCCGCACTAAATCGAACGATTGCCTTCAACCAATGACACGCGCCATATGTGACATCATTCCTATTTTATAAGATCTCGCGTCTTTCATCAACTACAAGTACCGCTTTCTAGTTTATAACATCTTGCATCTTTTCATCATCAGCTACAAGTACCACATCTAGTAAACACTACAAGAACTAAACGAGAGATGGCTACATACAGGAGACGGTACCGCCATCTAGTGAACACTGCAAGAACTAAACTAGAGGTGGCTACATACAGGGGACGGTACCACCATCTAGTGAACACTGCAAGAACTAAACTAGAGGTGGCTACATACAGGCTACAGGGGACGCACAGCCCACGTTCTAAGGAGCTTCGCCCCTAAAAAAAAAGTCGCCGATGATTTGATACCACCGAATGCGAATTCTGAGTGTCACAGCTTCGTGTTGGGGCAGCGCCAACTGTGTTTGAAATTCTGACTGTCCGCCGTTACATATAGTCACGGAAAGAGCCGGCGCTCTAGTGCTACGCACACCACTCTGCGCATTTCGGGCGTCGCGAAACACCAACAGCTCCGTTACAACAAGTGGAGCAGTGCCAGCCCTGCATGCGCACGAGCTCCGACCGAAGGGCATGACGAGGGAATGAAATGAATCTTTATTTCGTAGAAGAGGACAACTCTCGGCCGCATTTTGGGAATAAATGCATGAGAAGGAATGGTGTGTAGGCATATCAATCCGTCTTTAGTAGAGGTTCGATAGAGAAGCTTTCGCACGAGATGGCGGACCTCTTCTATACACCGCTCCAAACAGGCCACTTACACAAAGCATAGGTTGCAAGTGCTTTCGTGCGTCATCAAGTGCTTCTTAAGCTTCTTATGTCGTCGCGTGTGTTATGCCAGCGAGTCCTCGTCAAACGTCCGTGCCTCTGAAAAAGGCAATCTGGGTCAAGGCCAGCCCGCAGTCCGCCTGGCGCGATCAACTCGACGGCGTGAACACGCGCGGCGCCCCTCTGGCCCACGTGCATTGAGTCAGCTGCGCACGTGACAGCGAGCCGGCGTCCTCGTGTCTGGTGGTCTGACGCATGGCGCGGCAACACCATTGGAGGAATCTGCCCTGACGACCAGCGGCGCTTCTGATTGGACATTTTGGTTGGACCCGGTGTAAATAAAAGAAGCCCTGCGGCGCGTCGCGATCGGCGGTCCTGAGAGAGGAGTCCCCATGTCGGAGAGCCGACATGTGTATGAGTCGGCGGTCTTAGGCGAAAAGTTGACCTTTGTATTAGAGAGGAGAGCTCGGCTCTTCGAGTCTCTGTCGGCCCCAGTGCCGAAATTGTAACGCCTCTGTATATATGCTGTACATAAACCTTGTTTAACTCACCGTCGTCTCGTCCGCTCGTCTTATCAGCTCGGCGCAGAAGCAGTCGCGAGCTGAGAAACATACGCTACCAAACGGCTGGTTACCTTCCCGGCGGAGTTGAAAGCAGTGGCGCCTACAGGACCGTGTTGGCGTCGCCGTCTTTCGCAACAGTGGTGGCTTCGGCGGGATCGGTCCGTCGTTCGCAACAGTGGAGGTCAGCGGTGGGATTCGGAGGTGGCTTTGCAACAGTGGTTGGCAGCTGCGGGATCGGCCGGCGTCAGCGAAATCGATGCGGTGAGTGCCTGATGTTTTCCCCTCAGTTCACCAGACTACTCTAGCTCAGGTTGTAGTAGTTTAGAGAAGGGCTGTGTGAAGCATTAGAGTGAGCTTTGATCGTTTCAAGCAAAGTCGAAGTGCTTTGAAACCAAAGTTAATGCGGAAGGGGTAAACACGGGAGAGTGAAAAATTGCTTGCGCGTCTTGCTAGTTGACTTATAGTGGGTACGGCAAGTAAATTGTTAACAGTGGCAAACAGCAAGAGGCTAGTGTGAACGATGGAGAACCTTAAAGTGAAGGAACTCATCGAAATTTGTGAGGAACTCGGCATTACTTTGGGCCGCGCGAAACGAAAGCAAGCGATCCTTGAGATCATGAAGGATGAGGGAGTGTCGGCTGAGGAAGTCGATGAGGCCTGGGTGGATATTAAAGCACGCCGTGAGGAGGCTGAAAGGCGAGAAGTAGAACGTCGCGAGCGCGAGGAGGCCGAGAGACAGGAGCGCCTTGAGATGAAACGACTAGAATTGGCAATCCTACAGTGTTTGCAGGCGCCTAGCGTAGCTTCCCCGACGATTCAGGTCAGCGGTTTTAGAATTCGGGACCAACTGCCACCGTTCGTAGTAGGCGAGGACATGGCGAAGTATCTCGTCAAGTTTGAACACGTCTGTGAGCGAAACGCTTTGGAGCGGCCTCTTTGGGCGCGGAACCTGCTAGCTCTTTTTCCCGGCGAAGTGTCCGACGCGATAACTTGCTTGTCGAGGGAAGCGTTTGAGAGCTATGACGAGGTTAAGGAAGTGCTCTTGAGACGTTATAAGTTGTCACCCGAGGCTTTCAGGCAAAGGTTCCGGTATGCTGAAAAGGGGAATGAGTCACACGTTGACTTCGCGTTTCGTCTTAAAGCCGATTTGATTGAATAACTCAAGGGCGAAGGTGTTTATGACGACCGCGATAAAGTGGTGGAATGCGTTGCATTGGAGCAATTCTACCACTGCATCGAGGAGGATGTCAAACTTTGGCTGCAGGACAGACTTGGGGAAGTACAGTTAAATAAGGCAGCTGAGTTAGCTGAGGAGTATTATACTCGCCGAAAGTTGCATAGCAGGGCAGCGCGCGTTGAAAAGGATGAAAGGAAAGAGGGCTTTTCAAGGAAACCTGATCAACGGAAACCCGCTCCGCACCGTAATTTCAAGAAGGACCCGTCTCTTACGAAGGACAGTGTAGGGGAAGGGCAAACAGAAGCGGAGAAATTGAGTGAGGTTTCTACCACACAGGCATTAGAACCGGAAAACAAACGGAAGCCGCTAATCTGCTACAACTGCAAAAAGGAAGGGCACATCGCGAGAAACTGTCAGGAAAAGTTTGCCTTCGCAACGATCCGAGAATCAGAAAAAAACATTCGGTTGTTGGAGCCGTATCTCCAAGAAATTAGTGTCAATGAGAAAACGTGCCGAGCACTTAGAGACTCAGCGGCAACCATGGACGTTGTCCATCCTTCATTGGTGTCTCCGGATGACTTCACAGGAGAATGCGCGTGGATCAGGCAGGTCGCCGAGGAGCAGAGTGTTCGCTTACCAATCGCCAAGGTTGTCATTAAAGGCCCGTTCGGTGAGCTTCGCACCGAAGCGGCTGTGTCTGCCGCGCTAAATGATCGTTTTTCTTATTTTTTCTCCAACAACTCGGAGCAGCTTCTCAAAGAGCAGGGCAAATCGTTCTTCCCCAACTTAGCGTGCATGGCTCTCACGCGATCGCAAGCGCGGAAGCTGTCGCGGCAGCTTGATCTGGTTCCATGCAGTGAACTCTCAAGTGACCTTGTCGGCGGGTCGACGGAACCCCAGAAAGGAAAGTTTCCGCATGAGTCATGTGAGCAGTCACGCGAGCGGCCCGTCGCCGAACCGGCCGGCGCGGTTTCCGTAGAAAGGGGAGACGACATGGCGCCATTGAGTCAGAGCGAGGGGGTTGCAACGCTCTCGCCTGTAGCGGAAAGTTTGAGCGAGCTGCCGAGAGTTGATCGAGAGACGCTCATTCGAGAGCAGCGTGAGGATCTCTCGATTGAAGCGCTAGTGGAAAGCCAAATTGAAGCGCTAGTGGAAAGCCAGAAAAACGCGGCACAAGTGCTGTCGAAGGAGCGCTACGAGAAATCGGGGAAGAAGCGCGCTTTTGAAGTTGATAATCAGGTAAGGCTGCTGCAGCCGTACAAAAGGAACAAGCTTGTGGTTGATTGGGAAGGGCCCGCAAAAGTAGTATCGAAGCTTTCTGATACCAATTATGAAGAGAAATTAGGAAGGCGGCCGAACAAAATTTATCACAGTAACTTGAAAGCAGTCGTAAATTTACTCTTAAGTGCTTCAGAGGAAGAGGAAGCAGAAATTTTTAGTTCTAGTGAGGTAATCGAAAGGAGATCGAAAGTAATCTGGGAACAGCTGAACCTAGAGCCTAGCTTAAGTGAAGGAGGACCTGAGAAAGAGGACTTGAGAAAGATTGGTTCCGAGTTTGCAGACGTGTTTTCGGACCGCCCCGGAAACACGAGGGTGATCGAACACGATATCGAGCTAAGCGGTGAGGAGTCAATCCGTAGCAAGCCGTATCGTTGTTCCCCTGTGCAACGTCGAAAGTGTGAGCCGCTCTTGGTGCCGCATAGGTATCGTCGCCTAAAAGTGGTCGGTTACTGAAGTGGAGCATGTTGCTCCACAGCGCAACTTTGACGTTCGCTATCAAAAAAAAGAAAATAAAGGAAAGGTAAACGCTAATGCAGGTGCATTGAGCAGTGCGTTCCAGCTAGTAACTTCTCAACCTTTCGGTTTCTCGCTGGCGATTCGGGGCAAAATTTTGACCTCATCACGACCTGGGCTGAGCGCTCTCGTTCAGAGTGATCTCAAGGGGCCAACTTCATGTGGTATTCTAATTCGTTGCGTTGTTGTAAGTGTGAAAAATTCAAGTTCTTACTTTAAGGGTCTTTTGTCCCACATGTGCCTCTTGATGTAGAGGGAACAAAATTCCGATAAACACGTAGATAGGTATATGTTGTACTATACTTTGTCTGGTGTTCTGTCGGGTGACCGAGGGCACTTGCTTGTGTCGTGTGTTGTCTGTTGTCGAACCGTTCTTAGCAAGTTGCAGAACCATCGACAAGTGCTGAAACCGAAGATAGTCAGAAGAGACGAGTGAAGCTGGTCGACAAGTTGTGGCGACAAGCCAGTGGAGCCTTCACTTTCATCCCGTCGTAAAATGTTTCGTCTCCACTTGTTTCACAAGCTGTTTCATCACACATCGCTGCGGGACTGTCTTATCTTGCCTCCTAGTTATATCTCACCCCGGCTGGATCATTCCCATAAGGTCGGGTTGCCTTCTTGCAGGACTCGCGCCTATTCTCAGTCTTTCATACCTCGCACCTCTGAGGACTGGAACCGGCTTCCCGCATCAGCGGCAACCATTGTAAATTACCTTCATTTCAAAAGTGTCTTAGCTAGTTATGTGTAATTACAGCCAACAAAGTATTGTATTACCCGATGCTGTGTTGTTCCTGTACAGTATTTATTTTCTTGTCGTTTTTTTTTTCTGTCTTGATGTAATTCTCATCATTCCCGCGTTTTTGTTTGCTATAAAGCCTGTTAGCTAACCTGTATAATTAAGATCTTCTGGTCGATGTAAGATTCACCGCTGCATTTGTAAAAATTTTTGTCTTTTCTTTCGCAACCCCCCCCCCCCCCCCTGTAATGCCGTTTGGCCCTGAGAGTATTGCAAATAAATTTGTTTCTGCTTCATTTTGCAGAAACAAATTAGAACAAATAAATAAAATACCAATCAATATTTTCACTTGGCCGAACAGAGTTTTCGTTTAACGCTCGCACTCGGCGTCGCCGTTCACACTTTCTTTCTGCGCATTTTTTCTCTCGCCGAGCTTCTTGTCGCAGCGAACGTGGTATTTTTGTATTCGGTGCGAGTGATTTTGCTATACGGAGAACATCGTTTTTTTTAATTTTTTACGGTTCCCTTTAAGGCATTAATTGGCGACAAGGCTTACTTTGCACAAGCACACGTACGCTGAGTGGATGATACATAAAGTGCGTTTCAATATTTATCAGAACTGTAGTGAATGTGAGCGTTGTTGCTGTCGAAGATGCGATTGTTTAATTACCTTCATCGGGTCAGCTTGAAACTCATCACTTGGGGAGTCGAGGGGCTGTGGTGCCTGTAAAATAAGACATCGTTCCACACCATCATGTAAACACTATGACTAAAAGAAGGAAGTGAGCATTCAAGGGCTTGTCTTTTCTTCTTTGTTAGACAGGACGTCAATGAGAATTGACAGGAAATGATGCCAAGGAAAGTACGGGCATTATTGGTAATAATTATAGTGCAAATTTGGAAAAAGAAATGTAAACCTGTAGATGAACGTCTACATAATCTGCAGAAAGGGTTCTCTTACTTGAGAAGAAAGCGTAATCTTGGCGTGCAGTAATACAATCAGAAGTGAACTTTGTCAAAATTCAAGCTGTGTATACAGTGGTGCTGAAGCAGTACTTACGGTGTCTGTAGCTTCTATGAATCCATGAGCGACATTCGCTTTATTTTCTTCCTGAAAAAAAAAAGTTGACCAACAAACATGAGAAGTATTATCACTGTTGTATTGAGAAGTACTTCGAGGTCTCACTTTGACGGTGTTCCATCACCGACTTCAACCTGCACTCACAAGTACAGTGGGCTCCCCTTTTTTTTTTATAACCTATAAGATGCCACAGAGTGCTGTTGTATACTAGAAGTGCCGTTCAAAAGAGGGAAAAAAAAAGTCACCAATGATTTGATACTACCGAATGCAAATTCTGAGTGGTACAGCTTCGTGTAGGGACAGCGCCAACTGTGTTTGAAATTCTGACTGTCCACTGTTGTAACATTCGCTACACATCGTCACAGAAACAGCCAGCGCTCTAGTGCTACGCACACCACTCAGCGCATTTTGGGCGTCGCGAAACACCAACAGCTCCGTTACAACAAGTGGACCAGTGCCAGCCCTGCATGCGCACGAGCTCCGACCTAAGGGGCGTGACGATTGGGAATAAATTGAATCTTTACTTCGTAGAAGAGGACGGCTCTCGGCCGCATTTTGGGAATAGATACATGAGAAGGAATGGTGCTGGAATACACCGCTCCAAACAGGCCACTTACGCAAAGCATAGGTGGCAAGTGCTTTCGTGCGTCATCAAGTGCTTCTTAAGCTTCTTATGTCGTCGCGTGGCAAGTGTTGGACGTGTAAGAAAGCGAGAGAAGAGTCCAGTGGCCCCTGATATCAACAGACTCCGCGTTTGCCCTGTTTCGTCCTCGTCAATGATAACTAACAGACAATGATTGATTGATTGATATGTGGGGTTTAACGTCCCAAAACCACTATATGATTATGAGAGACGCCGTAGTGGAGGGCTCCGGAAATTTAGACCACCTGGGGTTCTTTAACGTGCACCCAAATCTGAGCACACGGGCCTACAACATTTCCGCCTCCATCGGAAATGCAGCCGCCGCAGCCGGGGTTCGAACCCGCGCCCTGCGGGTCAGCAGCCGAGTACCTTAGCCACTAGACCACCGCGGCGGGGCAAACAGACAATGATGCCATGACATCATTGTATGTTAGTTTTTGTTAATTTTGTGCGTAACAAAGAAGAACGAGACCTTGAACTTTCGCTACATTATAAAGCTCTCATTGTTCAGGAAGTATGGGAGATGGCCTAAGTTGGTTGGTTGGTAAAGGCTTTGAGCGGAACTTCGGTCTCCCGCGTGGAGACGTCAGGACCTTGCTTGACCGCCACCTCGCGGGTCTGCTGGACGGCCCAGAGTTGGTCGCCGTGGCTGGGGCTGCACAGCGCAGCGGCCCACCACAGCCGAAGGGTTTCAGTTTTTGCACCTTGTGGATTTTTTTGGCACAATCCCAGAGCATGTGACTTAATGTAACAATCTCGATATGGCATATCTTGCATATATTCGTCGCATATATATTGGGGTATAGTTTGTTAAACAGTTAGGGGTTGGGATACGTATGCGCCTGCAGCTGTCGTAGGGCCAGGTAGAAGGCCTTGGTAATTTTGTTATAGGTCGCCAAACGGACTTTGGTGTTTCCCGATGTGATTACTTTATTTATTCCAGAAAGAGGTAATGTGTTATAAAATTTGAGTTTGCTGGATTATGATAAGTGCACAGGAAGCAGTACACCAGGCCCGCGAAAGATATTGCTGCCTGCGTTACTGGGGAAGGGCAGCCAGAGATTAGGCTCGATTCCCACAGTATACTATAGATGCGAAACCTTTCACGTTCCTGCCCTGTCTTTGTGTACCCCTTCTGTAAATATAGATACTGAAAAAATGTGCAACGTTTTCGAAAAACAAGACACGACTGCATCATTCATATAATAATTTAGCCACAGCTCTCACCGTGAGAAAGTATTCCCTGAAGTTCACCATGCCGGGCGGAGAGTAACGATGGGGCAAAATTGAGGTGAAGATCTCCCACTCTGCAAGTTTACAAGTCATGAAAGAGTACATTTCATAAGTAAGACGAAAGCCACGAAGTACTTACGTATAAACGAATGCGCCGTTCGGCGTTGATTACACGTAGTAAACTCTCACTTGTCGGAACGTTGGTTTAACAAACATTTCAGAGTAACGAATGTTTAGCAAGCTTTGGGTGGCTTTCCTATGCCATATACAGTGCGCAGAAACGCGGGTTATCTGAACAGCTCGCGCTTTAAGGGTGCAAGTCCAAACGAAAATAACATAATTTCCAAAACAAACTGTATTTCACACTTTTCACCCAATATCGTCTGTGTCCAACGCTGTTTCATATTCCGGTGAATAAAAGGTGAAATAAGGCTAACCAAATGTGGATCAGCAGTTAATTAAGTGCTAAAGTGATTTAAAGTGAATGAGAGGTTAATCTAGCGCTGTGAATTAACAGTGAATGAAATCTGAGAGTGTAGGTTTTTGTCTGTGCCCTTCGTAGCATTACCTGAAAGGTCAGACAATCCGAGCTTACCTTGGGGCTGGTAAATGAAATATATGCACCAGCAGATAAAAAAATATTAATCGTGACAAATACATTGAAATGAAGCAGAACAAAACTTGTCGACATTGTCACTGTATACGTTTATTCCCGCGCTGTTCGTCTATAATTAATGCTTTAGGTTTAGTTTTTTTTTTTTGCCTAAAACCATTGCTCAATAGAACTCGTTGTCCGATGACATTGTAACCAGGCCTATTTCAAACATTTTTTTTTTCTGGCAACAGTTATTGACTTCCTCAAATTATACCCATGGTCAGTTATCTCAAATTTCTTGTACGTGTTCTAATTTTGCATGTGCGTGTGTCTTTCGCTATTGTTGCACCTTTTCCTACTATATCCAAGTGACTATTATATGAGCTAAATTATCATTGTTACTATGTTATTGTTGTATTAGTTTATTATATATCATCGAGAGTCTCATTTACTTTACTGTACTAAATTGTCTCAGAAGAGTATCGTTCTTTCTGTACATAGAGTGCAAGATAATATTACAATGTGCCTTCCACTGCTGCAATAGCTCCATATTGGGGCTGACATCATAAATAAATGAAGCTGGTCGATACATGCGCACGGATTATCCCAAGCGCCCCCCGGAGTTACTAGTTCTAGTCCAGTTGCAAGTTTTTTGTGATGAAGTTTTAGTCAACTAGCAAGCTTTCTTTCTTTCCTTCTTTCTTTCTTTCTTTCTTTCTTTCTTTCTTTCTTTCTTTCTTTGTGTGTGTGTGAGTGTGTGTGTGTGTGTGTGTGTGTGTGTGTGTGTGTGTGTGTGTGTGTGTGTGTGTGTGTGTGTGTGTGTGTGTGTGTGTGTGTGTGCGTTATGTACTGATGGACAAGTAATTCGTATTTAACGTTTGCTGTTTGGTGTACGTTTTTTGCTTGTAGTTTCTTCATATAAACGGGTGAACGCCAGCTAATACTGCTTCATAGTAGTCGTCACTGCCTGTTCTGTAATAACATTGAAAAGGATTTCTTTCCCGTTCTGATAAATGTTGTGAGGCGCTGTTAAGAACCCATAGGTATTTACCCAGGACCGCAGAAGGCAACACGGTCTACATGCAACACACCGTAGAGTTTTCTTACAAATATTAACTAGAGGGAACTCTGGTGCTGGGATTATTCAGTCACCATGGGAATGATGCGTAGTACACGGATTCGCATAACCTTCGCGGTTGCAGCTTCGTTTATTCTTGTGCTTTCGCATTTGTGCTTGTGCTTGGCATTTATTCTTGTGCTTTCGCAAAGAATGAACTATTCTGAACTTCGTGAACCTGTTTGAATTGGTGAGCCTAAAATGTCGAGGCCGTGAAGTGGGGGCACTGAACGTTTGCCGGATTTCGTCTTAAGACAAAGCAGTTGCATGCAACAAGGAGCCAAACGGAGTCGAAAGTACGAAGCTTAGACAAATCCGTGCAATACGCACCATTATCATGCTGCAGGCTGAAGCGTCGTGCGTCGCAGCTCCCGTAGACACTATGACTTTATTTTTTGCTCATTTTAGATAGAACTTGCTATACCGAGCTGTCAACATAAAAGATAAATTCTTTATCCTTCAAGAGGCCATTAGTATTCACAAAAACGAGATATTGGTAGGGGCTCTTTAAGGCATCTGTTAATGCAGGGCGATCGATGAAAGCGGAAAAAATCGACAAAGACAAAAAAAGGGGGTGGGGCGGTGGGGTACCACCGTCGGTGACGATGGTAGCCATGCTAACTCTACGAGACACATGTGTGTGTGTATATATATATATATATATATACTTGAAGGGGAGGCACGACAGGTCCGGGTATTTTCTATATTGAAATAACTTGAAGATAGCACATAAGAAAAGGATCGTATTTACTAACGTTTCGGCCGTGGCACGGCCTCTGACGAAGGCCGTGCCACGGCCGAAACGTTAGTAAATACGATCCTTTTCTTATGTGCTATCTTCAAGTTATTTCAATATATATATATATATATATATATATATATATATATATATATATATATATATATATATATATATATATATATATATATATATATATATATATATATATAGTAACAACATAGCGTTCTTTCACCGCATTCTGCAAGCTCTCTGTATGTCATAGGAACCCCACATCAGTGTAAAACAACTCTCTATACAAGTGCGTGCATCTCTAGGAAAAGGTGAACAGCAGCAAGGCACATCGAATGCAGGAAACAGGATGACGCCTGCCTCGGTTCTTCTTGTCTAGCTATCTATCACAGTTGGACGTACGTATACGCATGAAAGAAAAAAAAAGTTTGTCACGAGCTTTGAGGGACAACGTAAGTCCAAGACAAAAATTCAACCAGCTCCGCCTCGCGGACACTTGTTGAATTGGTGGCGTTCTCTTTGTCAGTATAACACAATACTGTGCTCGGAAAGCCTCTGTCAGAGACGCTGTATCACTGCTCTTTATTAAACACGTTTTGTTAAGCTTTGAAATAGTACTGCAGTGGTGTGATTATGGTAATGCGTACGACGTTTGTTCGGCTATTTCCCTCTTCCCATTTAGTGAAAGTTGTGTGTAGCGGAATTTATCCAGTTTTTATGGCATATACGTATTCATGATTATGATTGTTAGTGGTATTAGTACCCAATGTCTGAGGCGCATGCCCGCTTATGATGCCCACAAGCGTTACCACGCGACACGATAACAGAGCCTGTGCTGTATTCCTCTACGCTTTGCTACAAAAAGTCCATATTGTTTCACCATTTCGTGGAAACCAAGTATGGACACCCACCGAGCTTTTCGTCGGCGTGCCACACGAACTCCAAGGCGTCTTGGTTTCCCCTCCAGCGTCGCTCCAGGTGATGCACTCGGCCCAAGAAGAGGCCGTCGAAACCCATCTGCGAGGATGTGCCGACCGCTCAACTCATAACAATAAAGCTTGACAGTGTGTTATGCTCTCTGTTAAGCTTGTTAAGCGTTCGGCAATGCTTTGAGTCATACAACCGGAGACCAGGCTTCTCGAAAGATATTAGATGCCGTATAGGAAGAGACATGCATTTATCGTTATCTTCATCATTATCATCCTCATCATGCTGACTACGCTTACTGCTGGTCTCACCCATGTTCCGCCAATCGACCCGGTCTTGTGCATGCTGCTGGCACGTTATACCCGCCAACTTCTCAATCTCATCAGCCCGCCTAACTTTCTGTCTCGCCCTCGTGCGTTTGCCTTCTCTTGGGATCCAGTTATTCTTAATTACCAGCAGTTACTCTGTCTACGCGCCAGAGTTATACCAGTTGCGAAACTGCGTTCCGAAAGCCGGACACGCAATTGGCCCGATTTTGCAGGAGTCAGCAGACTTTCGCGATATCTGGGAGCGGGACGCGAAACAAAATAATGCGTTTGATAGCTGGTTTGCTGATCAACAAGTGGCGTGATGTGCACACTTCCGACATCTGGGCATTGACGAAATTAATTCTAAACTGTTAAAGAACATTACCGATACAATTGTACCATACTTGCACCTCATATTCTCACAGTCACTCAGCACCGGCGACCTTCCGAATGACTGGAAAATTGGTAAGGTCGTTCCAGTCTACAAAGCAGGCGACAGCAACTCCCCACTCAATTATCGTCCCATTTCATTAACAAGCATCCCATGCAAAATCATGGAACATGTCATATATTCTCATGTTATCAACTTCCTCGATTCCAATAGTTTCTTTCACACCTGTCAGCATGGCTTCCGCAAGGGACTTTCCTGTGAAACACAATTAGCACTCTTTCTTCACGACATACATACAAATCTTGACACCAACTTTCAGGCTGACGCCATTTTCCTTGACTACGCAAAAGCATTTGATACAGTTCCTCACAACAAACTAATACAGAAGTTATCCGGGCTAAATCTTGACCCTAACGTGTTAAGATGGATTAAATCTTTTTTAGCTAATCGTTCTCAATTCATGCACGTAAATAATGAATCCTCTGAACCTCTCGAAGTAACGTCAGGAGTACCGCAAGGGTGCGTCCTTGGCCCCTTGCTATTTCTAATCTACATTAATGACCTACCACTAACTGTGTCTTGCAAAATCCGCATGTTCGCCGACGATTGCGTGATATACCATACAATAACTAATGCTTCCGATCAACTAACCCTACAACACGATCTGAACAACATTCAAGAATGGTGCGACAATTCGCTTCTCAAACTTAACCCCAACAAGTGTAAAGTTGTCTCATTCACTCGCCGCAAAAATCCTTTCCTATTCCCATACCAAATCACTAACGCCCCTCTAGAAATAGTACAGTGTTTCAAATATCTAGGTGTCACACTGTCCGCCGATCTAACTTGGAATGCGCATGTCACAAACATTATCTCATCAGCAAACAAAATATTGGGATTCGTGAAACGTCATCTGCGTTGCGCACCTCAACACGTAAAACTACTCGCATACACATCCCTCATCAGGCCAAAACTGGAATACGCCTCTGCAATATGGAATCCACCTCAAATTTACCTAATCAATGACCTTGAATCAATTCAAAATCGCTCAGTCCGATTCATACATTCGTCATATTCTTATGACATCAGTGTTTCATCCTTAAAAGCCCAATCTGGATTGCAGCCACTTGCCCTTCGACGCCGCATAGCCACTCTTTCCCTGTTTCATAAGCTGTTTCATTCGCCCCTCAACCATCCTCCATACGTCATCCCTCCGACGTACATTTCGCACCGCACCAGCCACCCCCTCCAAGTCTCCCGTTACCGCACTAGGACTGCTGCCTTCTCCGCATCCTTCTTTCCGCGTGCTGTGAAGGACTGGAACGACCTCCCAAACCACGTCGTCACAATCACCTGCCCATCAACTTTCGCTAAAAATGTAACAACTCATCTCTGTCAGTGAAACTTTATGACAATGTATATACCCACACCTATGTAGCAATATTTTATACTTTGAATGTAGCAAAAGTTTTATATCCTGTATACCAACCCCTTATGTGGCAAATGTTTATATCCTGTACATCCACCCCTTATGTAATACCCCCTTGTGGGGTCTTTAAGGAAATAAAATATGATGATGATGATATGATGATGATGAATTGCGTGTATGGATTTTGATACATGGAGCCTATGGGGAGTTACGCAACTCATATGATAGAATAACTCTGCTATGCGCAAGGCGTCCGGCCCATGTCCATTTAACACACATTGAACTACCTTGAATTCCTTATTCAGACACATTGTTTCGCACCCTATGAAGCTTTCTGCCTGCACCTTACGTAGCGTTGCACAACCTCCGAGATCGGCTATCTTTAACCGAGCGACGATGCCACGGGATAACGTAATTACGTGACCTGACACGATTACATTACAAATTTTTACTACTTGTGACGTTCTCATGACGTCTCTGCATGAACTGATCAATGCCGCATAGCTCACGTGACCCCTCTCCCCCCGTTGGTTGAGTGTGAAAAGATAGGCAAGCTTCACGATGGATACAAAAAATTATGAGGCGAGTGCATAAGTGCTCCTCACAGTGGTCTGCCTTTGCTCCCTGGCTTTTCAGGATTAAAGTTGATGTGAGAAGTAAACAGTTCTTCTAATGCAACATCGCGATTCCTCTGTCGTCGTCGTCGAAAACATGGTGGTCATGGCTCATGACTTTACACTTTAAACAATGGCGTGACAGGCCGAGTGAAGAATTGTATTTGGATGCGCACGAATGTGTATGACCAAATGAATAAAAGCAGTTAATATTTGGCGCTCCATCTGTGCACATAATTACTTCCTGTGTTCGTCTAACTCGCCCATCAAGAACTCATTCTGAAGAGATTGCTATGTGATCGACTTGACGAACCTCTTAGATGATAAAGAGGAAGGTGACGCCACTCCCCACTCCCCTTCTGTACGCACATCTATGACCACCATCCCGTGTCAATCCTGGACGTGAGTTGTAGACTCACCTGTGCGAAGAGGGCAGCCTGCTCCCTGGAGTGGCCGTACGGGTCCAACTGCCAGACGGCGCGGGGAAGTGCGCATGCGCCAAACGTGGAGTTGATCCAGCGCATGCCCAGCGTCATCTGGTCCAAGATGTCCGAGTAGTGCGTGCTCGCCTCATCATTCATCACTATGCCGCCGTTCACCAACTCCACGCGGCCTGTGGCACATCCGTCCAATAAATAAATAAAATAAATAAATAAATATTTGTGAGTAACATAGTAAGAGAATGCAACAGAAGTAAGTATGCTGTTAGATTCCATGAAAACCGAGATACCACTCGTCTTTCTTGGTGCGAAAAGGCGAAACAGTTCTATTGTTGGACTGTGCACAATCAAGAAAAAAAACAGAACAAGTGCTGGTCTAACAGAAAGCCCAGAACTCCCGGCAACGACTGCGGCAGCTTCTGGCCGCCAGTGGCAAGCAGCAAGCCCCGCCACCCTTTCCAAAGACTGGCCTGGATAGTAGCGAGCGGCGCTTGCGGTTTCGCCAGCATACTGTCGGTGCCTGCGGCACGCATGCATTCCATGGGTCACATCTCATCGCCAGCGTGCTGCAGGTGAGGCGGGGACAAAACGCTGGAGCCTAGTCCTCGCTCCTGCCCCGGCCGTGGAACGATGCGTGATGATGAGCCGCCAACGCCTGCTCGCTCTCCTTGCGGCAATGGAGGAGGAGAAAAGTTTACTTGGAAGAAATAAAAATAAATGCAGACAGGTATGGTCGCGCCCTCAGTCCAGAGCTCTGCTGGCACAGGCGGCTCACTGGGCCTGGTGAAGCAAAGCTGTTTGGCTTTGCTTGTCCTAGTCCGCAAGTCATGCCTCCCACTGCCGGTGAGACATGTGCGAATGCGTAGTAATATGTGGGCTGTCGAAGTGTGTGAGCCTCTCAGTACACTCCAATGTTATGTGACTGAGTGTATCCTCCTGTCTTTGTCTAAGTCGAACTGTTTTCTTCGAAAATATACACTAAACTCCAGTGGCGTGGGCGGGTGGAGTCATACCGAAATTTCTGGCTACGTCACTGGTAAAACGGGAGTGAATTGTACGCAAAAACACCACACGCCCTTCATCACACACACAGTCCCTTCATCAGAGAGAAAAATAGATGGCTGTGTTATGCAATAGTTTAAATTCTAAGCAATTTGACACGTATCAGAGATCTCCCGTGCCGTTTTATAGCGGCACTGCACGCTAACGGAGGTACCCGTGATCATGGAGGTACCCTTGGGCCTTCCTTCATGGGAACCTGCATGCCGAGGAGCGAAACATCGCGCCCTTTAATGAAATAACGCTGCGCACGCCTGCGATAATATCTTCATGATTATGTTAATTTCGTGATACTGATGATTGTGATAATGACGATGGTGATTGGCATTCTGATGAGTAATAAAATGCTTATGCATTTTACTGACACTGTCACGATGACGGAATTCTTATCAGGATAAAAATCGACCACCCGCATCTCCCGTTGCCACGTTACCTTCGGCGATAAATTTTCTGAAGATGATCCTGAAGACCTCGCTACTGGACTCGTACCAATTCTTCAGGAAGGCCACCTCGGTCATGCTGAACATGCGCTTCTTGTTCTTCAGCAGCTCACCACTGACAGAGTTCAAGATGGCTGTCGCCTCTGGAACGGTGTAGGAACACACTGTAGTCATAGTTATAACACTAGCAAACATAATTATTCGAGGCATCGGGCAAATCGACTACGTGTTATTGAGAAACAAAATAAAATCCACGGCTGATTATGCCGTGGATTTTCATCGCCGTTTTTCTTTTTGTTAATCTTACAACGTTATCAGTGATGTTGTTGCTTTGAGTGCGTGTCTTTCACGCCATGAACAACAAGGTGTTTTTGGCTAAAGCGTTTTGTCCAGTGTGTTACATTCTTAAAAGGAGTGCTCGTATGGGCACCTTTCATATTGCTGTTTCTGAAAGTGGATATGGAAGCATTGTTTGTCCGCAGCACTGGTCTGTCACAAGGAGTGTCAACTGTCGAACGTAAGGAGCCTCATGCAAATTTAAAACTCTTTGCTTTTGCAAAAAGTGAGCGAAACCCGAACATGACCGGCATGAAGGTGTTCCTTTATCTCGTCTGTAACTTGATTTTTAATAAGGCGCTTGACTGGGCCGGTTGGTGCTGCATGGTTGACGAAGATAGACGAAAAGGGCTTAACAGCGCGAACGACAGCAGGGGATTGAGGAGACGAGACATGTGTTTTTTCAGAAGCCTACTGTAGTTCTGTTTGATCGGAAATCGAAAAGCGAACATGCGCCTCAAGTTAGGCTTAGGTCAACTTCACTATACACTAAATATAGCAAATAGAAATCATACAACAAATATGGTTGGAGCACGTATGATTATATTAACATGTTGAATCAGGCTGGTTGGTGCGCTACTGAATTTGAAAGAAAAAAGCGCCCAAAACAGTGCACTGACGGGATGAAAACAAGAGAACGCACTTGTCCATACATCAAACTAACTTATGAAACACTTCAGCGTAGTCGCATAAAACTTTAGAAGACCGCGAGGCATTTCCTCCTCAAAGGCGGACGCACACAATCCTGCGCCAACGGACGTGCCCTACAGACTGACGTCATAAGGTGCACGGCCGGAGAACATTTTCAAATGCATGAGCCGCACGGTTTGTTTAGTCGCAGAGGCTATCGGGCACCGTGATTCGGTCGTCTGCCCAGAGCCTCACGGGACGTCTTAAGATGTATCCGAGTATGGATACCGCAGCCTCCGCAATGTCACAGAATGAGCTTACTTCTCAAGTTGACTTCGAAGGTGTTGTGGGAGGCGATGTCCATGTGCGAGTGCGGCACGAAGTGAATGTTGATTACGTTCGGCTTGGCCTTCGGACAAAGCTGCAGAAAAGTGGATGGAACAGTGAAAAGAGTCATTCACTTGCGTGGTGCTAGGCAGTGAGCGAGCCAAGAAAAAAAGGCGAGATCTACAGGCCGCCAGGTTCAGCTCTCTCACAGCCCTCACAGCTCACAGCAGGGGCACAGCCAAGTGACATCGAGTTTACTAGCGCTTATTGTGGACCGAATAAGGTTATTTCACTCACTCACTCACTCACTCACTCACTCACTCACTCACTAATAACCCAACAAACTTCAGGTGGAGGGTAGTGGTACAGATGAAGTGTAGTGAGTCTTTTAAAAAAGTAGCATTACAGTTCAATAAATATTGTGCTGACGTTACGATTGCGGTTTGAGGACCAGGGGCAGTACATGTCTTGCGTGAAAGTGATGATGATGACGGTGACAAGTGGACGACAGAGATGCGGTAATAAAAATGAATGAACGATCGTAATGGCCACTTGCGTAATGGCACGTCACTTAATTGCACAGGTTAGCGACAATATATAGAGCGTACACACTCTCAGAAGAAGAGGAAGAAAGAGGAGTAGCCGGCGCCACGCATTGGCACCAACCTCTCCTTGCATACATTTAATTAAAAAAGAGGAAGAAAGGGTGTCTTTTTCCTCCCTTTCGTGTTTACTTCCTTGCGTTATAGAAGCCGTTCACGAACGAAGTGTGCGTTATCATCGTGAATTCTTAATAGGAAAGTAGCGAGAGGAACGATGACGATTATTGAGGTGGCACGAAAACACGCCCTTTTTACTTGGTGTTTTATCATTTTGAGTACTTTACAGGCCCACGAGGCATTGTGTATGGAGGCACTGTAATTACAAGATTGTATATAAAAAAGTACGAAGAACCATCAAACAAATGGTCGCGCATTCACATAAAATCTGAACGCAAAATGCGTAGAGCGTAATAAATAAATAATGCATTATAAAGTTGAGAGTTGGACGGAAGCCCGTATGGTCAGGCACATGCATGAAGACAAGGAAAACAAGACGCTGATCTCGCAAAAACAAGTGAAAACAAGTCGGCTCTGTCTCTCTTTGTTAACAAAGCTTCAGCCGAAATGTCTTGTTTTTATTTGCTTTTATCGTGGTCAGCATATTGTTTACATTGTCTTCACATAATCCTTAATAAATGCATAACATAATACTTGCAAAATATATACAAATATGGTAATTGACGTATTTTGCGTATAGGGGCTGTTAGGTATTGACTTATATATAGAACGTACAGCGAGGGTCAATCTAAGAAGCTCACCCTGAACGTGCAGTGAATCTCACTTCCAGGTGGCTTCGCTCCAGGTGGCTTCGCTCCAGGTGGCTCTGAGCGAAGCGGCCCCATACCGGCTGCCATTGGCTGCGCGGTGGCTGTGACCAGGAAAGTGGCTGTGGCCGCCGCAATGATGATACCGCCGCACCACATGGCTTGCGGGCTCTTCCCTCCTACCTGCTCGTTAGAAAGGTAACGCTACTAGGAACGACTAAGCCAATTGCATTTTGCAGTGAAGATCTGTTTGTGAGACACTAGTTCGTTTGTTAAGACGAATTAACTCCTAATGTGCTCATTAAACCAAAAGTAAGATGGGATTTATCGAAGGCTTTTTTTTTTCGACCCATTTTAATCAAACCAATAGGCAGTGAAGCTAAAGAAGGTGTATGGGGACATTACTTGCATACTTTTACTCTAGTATATTATTTATGACGCAAATAGAAAACAAATGAAGCGGTTGGAAAACCATTTTGCCGCCGGTAGGAACCGAACGCACAACCTTCGAACCTGTCCATTTATGCCAGAGTCACGTCGAGGATTCGCGAAGCAGATGGTTACCTGCTCGAGACACAGTGGAGGCTTGACAGAAAGAGTGAAATTCCCCGTACGTCTCACGGAGGCGTACACCTTTGCGGCGGCAACTTCATTCGACATAAAAACGGGTCGGGATTCTCAATTTTTCCAGGCTCTGTGGGATCGCTTGATGCTGGTGGGCGTCTTATCCGCAGGAGAGTGAGAGGGCGCTTTCGTCGTCTTTTGATGACTGCTTAGAGTGCTTAGCGCTTTGAGGGGCCAGCTTGTCGTCCATCCGTAGATGTCATGTGGCGTGGTCACGCTCACAATCAAATGGTCGATGCGGCCTTAAAACAAGGGTACCAATGCCCAAAACCAAGTTGAGATAAACAAATGTGCTACGGTAATGTAATTAACAGAAATAAACAAGATATATTGACAAAAACAAATTTTGAATATCTAAC